CCTTTTATTCTATTGGCTTTCGAAAGCCAATAGAATAGACTCTCTTGAATGGAGTCTAATTCTATTGGCTTTCCAAAGCCAATAGGAATTGTCCAGGCTGTCTCTGCCCTGCTGAGCCCGCCAAAAGTCCCATTCTGCAAACGGTGCTGCACCAGTTGAGTAGTCCTCGACTTACAACCGGCTGAGTAGACCTCGACTTACGACCGGTTGGGGGTCACGGCATTAAAAAGGTTGAGAACCACTGCTTTATCATATCACAAATAACCGTGCCATCCAAACCTTAATTCTTGACCTTCCCAATCAAGTAGCCCTCTTGTTCTGGATGGGTCACCCACGCTTTTAACAACGCGCATCAAAAAATACAATTTCAAATCTGGTGAACTCAAACTCTCTTCCTTCCTTCGCCTCTTGCAGTAACTTATAACTAATTCTTGGTTTCTTCCCTTGCCAAGGTGACCAAATCTGAGTCTTCCCGGCTATTTTTTTTTTTTTCAGAATTAGAATTTTTTTTAAAAAAACAACAACACACACACAAGGTGTCAAAACATCCTCTTAAGGAATTCCTGCGGTGAAAAAAAAATGGCAACTTTCAAAAGAACAAATCCTGCTGGTGGACGAAGCAAAATGTAAGAGTTTGGCCACCGAAACTGCTTGAGATGGGAATTGGGTTCAAATCCGTGTCTAGGGAGATTCTCCATCATCCAGGTTATACCGGTAGTTGTCCCAAAGATGCTTTTTCAGGGGGCAACTGGACCTTCTGGTTTTTCTTTGAAGACGTTTCGCTTCTCCTCCAAGAAGCTTCTTCAGCTCTGACTGAATGGTGGGGAATGGAAGGATTTATATTCCTTGCAGACTGCTGGTCATTTGCATCCTTTTTAGAGAGTCATTGAGGCCACTTGGAGGTTTATCTGTACCCTCAGGGTCACCTGAGTGGTGCAACTGTGTGTGGGACCTTTTTGCAAGTGCTGAAAGGACCGCGTTGTAAACACAATGAACACACTGAAACTCCTTTCAGCAATTCCAAGAAGGCTCCATATCCATTTGCACCACTCAGATAACCCTCCAAGTGGCCTCAACGGCTCTCTAAAAGAAGGCAAATGACCAGTTGTTTGTTTTTCTTTGAAGACGTTTCACTTCCCATCCAAGAAGCTTCTTCAGCTCTGCCTGGATGGTGGGGAATGGAAGGATTTATACTCTTTGCAGACTGCTGGTCATTTGCATTTTTTAAAGAGAGTCCTTGAGGCCACTTGCAGGTGTACCTGTGTCCTTAGGGTTTACCTGAGTGGTGCAAATGGGTGTGGAGCCCCCTTAGAACTGCTGAAAGGACTCTGCTGTAGACTGGAGATAGATCATGTCGTATCTCTCCCCCTCTGTTGAGGGGGGGGTGTTCAGTTTTGACCTAGATGGCCTCTTGGACCCCTTTTTCAAACCAGTGGTCCTCTCTGACCAAAATGTGGACTTTGCTGTCTTTCAAAAGAGCAGCCTTTGCCTTTTAAATGCAGATGGACTCTTGTCCTGGTGGCCTATGTTGTGCCATGTCCCATTTGCACCACTCCGGTGACCCTGAGGCTGAATTAAAACTCAGCTCATGTGGCCGCATCCACACAACCTCCTAGCGGGATCAGCGCAAGACCTGAACCTACGAAGACCCCCACACACACACACGCCCCCACCCACCCACACGGGCTAGTCTTTCCCAGCTTAGCGTCTCCCGCGTGGCTGGGACATTCGCGGCGCAGGTACAGCCCCGGCAAGACTCGACTGGCGGACCTCACGGGAGCCTGGCCAGAGCATCCGCGGGCGCCTTCCCCAAGCCTGGGGGAGCGTGCCAGCTGTGCGCCGGGGCGACACGTGTCTCGGGGACGCGCGTCTGATGGGGGCCGGCCTTCCTCCTCCCCTCCTCCTCCTCCTCTCTCCCCGCCCCCTCCCCAGCCAGCCCCCCTTCCCAGCCCCCCCCCGCCCCCGCCGTCGGTCGCCTCGTGGCTGCGCTGCGCTTGGACCGACTGCTGCCTGGACCAGCCGATCCGATCCGATCCGTTTCTTCTTCTTCCTTCAGCATCCTCGCCTGCTTTACCCAGGCGACCCGGGCTTGTGGGGGGGGGGGCGCCGGCTGGCCCACCTCTAGGGCTCCAGATCGCCCCCTCCCCATCGGATCCCCTCCATCCGGCGCCGCAGAGGTGCTGGGGGGGGGGACACGCGAGGTGCGTGGAGGGGGCGAGGGTCTGAGCATCCCTACCCAATGTGGGGTTGGTTGCTGGGGGGGGGGTAATCGCTTCCTCCCCCTCCCGGGGGGGGGTTTCGGGGGGGGGCTGCCGCTTTTAAGGGAATGCATTTCTTGGAAGGAGGGGCTGCGGGAGCGAAAAGAAGGGGGGCGTCCGGCCGACGTTTGGGAACGTGGGAACGGAGACGGGGGTCCGGATCTGGCTCCAAACGGGGGGAGGTCTTCAAAAAGCGGCGGGGGAGGGGAGGAGGGGAGGCGAAAGGAGACCCCCCCCCGCTCCCCAGCCTCTGCGGATCCCAGCTCCAAGGGGTGGGATTCCTGAGGCTCGCCTTGATCCCTGCAGCGCGAGCCGGGCCTGCGGAGGAGAAGCGTCTTCGACTCCGATCGTGAGAAGGCGGCCGGGTCGAGGCTGGCGGGGAACAGCCCGGGATGGAGCGACCGAGCCGGTAACTTGAGCTGAACCCCTTCCGCCCCCATTCTCCCTTCCCCCCCAAAAAAAGGTAGGGCAGGGGTCAGCTGGAGGAAAGGTGGGGAGCGCCTTGCCTTCTGCCCCTTGGGGTCCCTTCCAGGGCTGCTGGACCCCAAGCCCCATCATCCTCAGCCGGACAGGTGGGAAAGAATTGATTCACCTGTAATTGGTGGGCAGGGAGAGTTGATGGGGTCTCGGGGTGGGTGGGGGTTTAAGGAGGAGAGAGTCCTTCGGAGAAGGGGCGAGTCGGCTTCTGAGCCCCTGAACCCCCAGATTTCCCGGAGGGAAAGTCACATTGTGCATCTGTGAGAACAGGGCCAGTTCCCATGCACCAGGAGTCCTCGACTTGTGACCACGACTCGGCCCCACATGTCTGTTGCCGAGGCAGACACAAAACTCTGCTTAAGTGGATTTGGCCCCCTTTGACGCCGTTTTTTTTTTTTTTTTTTTTTGCCTTGGCTGTTAAGCGAATCGCTGCCATTGTCGAGTTAAGTCACACGGTCGTTAAGCAGATCTGCCTTGAGTCTGCTTGTCGGGAGGTCGCAAAAGGGGATGGCGTGACCCGGGGATGCCGCAACCGTCGTAAACAGGAGTCAGTCGCCGAGCGTCCCGGATTTTGATCACGTGACCTTGGGGAATAGCGCACCGCACGTAAGGTCGTAAGTCACTTTTTTTCAGCGGTGGTGCCACTCTGAGCGGTCGGTAAATGAAGCGTTGTAATTCGAGGACTGGCTGTATTTGCATTGGAAGGAGGGAAGAAACCCCAAAGGTGAAGAATTGGCTGATTGTTATCCACCTTGTGAAGTCTGTTTTGTGGGTTCCTCCTTCCCTGCCCAGCTGAATTGGGTATGGTTCATTGTTTTCCTCTAAGGGCCTGGTGCTGCTGGCTAGGAGGGAAAGCACTCTGCACATGCTCAAGAGACCGGGGCAAGCTTCAAACGGGGGGGGGGGCAAAGCACGGCGCTAGAGCGTGGCTTTAGATTGTGGGGTTGCTTACCTCTGATGACGTGAACCAAGGTGGCCTCTTGGTGTGTGTTGTTGAAGAGACACAACAGTTATGTGTGATTTGAGCCCGGCCAGATGGGAGGGTGTAAAATTCCTGGCAACAACTTTTGAGGACAGACATCAGGTGTGGAGCGTGTGTTCCGGACCAGTGAGGTGTATTTAAAGTTGTGTAAGGAATTACGCTAAGGTAACATTTAGATCGGGGTGTGTATATGTGGACAATTGTGTTCTCTAAAAGTGCTAAACTGCTCTTTTCTCAAATCTCGGAGTTGTGTTTCCTTCCCCTCGCCCCCCTCTCCGGCTTTTGAGGTTTCTTCTTGCCCTTGAGGACTAGAATGTTATCCATCCCTATCTCTAAAAGCCAATGGACTAGTTCGAGGTGCGGGGAAACAAACTCGTGAGTGGCTTGTAAAAAAAGAAATAGCAAACAGAAGGGGATTGGGCCCATAAAGGGCGAGGGGGGAGGGGGGAAAGTTCACCCCTTTTGTCTTCGGCTGATTCAAACCCTCCTGCCTGGGGGCTGAGCTCAAATATCCTGCTGAATCCTTCCTTCCTTCCTTCCTTCCTTCCTTCCTTCCTTCCTTCCTTCCTTCCTTCCTTCCTTCCTTCTCCCTCCCACCCTCCCTCCCATTCCCTCTCTTTTTCTTCCTTTCTTTTCTTCCTTCCTTCCTTTTCCTCCCTCCCTCCCCCTTCTCCCTTTCCCTCCCTCCTTCCTTCCTTCCTTCCTTCCTTTATTCCTTCCTTTCCTTCCTTCCTCCCTCCCTCTCCCCTTTCCCCTCCCTTCTTCCTTCCTTTCTTTCTCTTCCCTTCCTCCCTCCCTTCCTTCCCCCTCTCACCCTCCCTCCCATTCCCTCTCTTTTCTTCCTTCCTTCCTACCTTTCTCTTTCTTTCTTTCTTTCTTTCTTTCTTTCTTTCTTTCCTTCCTTTCTTCCTTTTCCTCCCTCCCTCCCTCCCCCTCCTTCCTTCCTTCCTTCCTTCCTTTCATTCCTTCCTCCCTCCCTCTCCCCTTCTCCCTCCTTCCCTCCTTCCTTCCTTCCTTCCTTCCTTTCTCTTTCTTTCATTCTTTCTTTCCCTTCCTTCCTTCCTTCCTTCCTTCCTTCCTTCCTTCCTTCCTTCCTTCCTTCTTTCCTTCCTTCCTTCCTTTTTAGGAGCTCCACTACTGTTTTCCCATGCTCCCCATCAGAAAACTCATTCCAGAGAGGTACCAAACAGGGAACCAGCAGGGGAGGGGGGCTGCTTCCCTTCCCCCTCCCCTCCCCGGTTGCCGTGAATGGGATGCGGGGGGGGGGGAAGAGAAATTCTGGTTTAGCACATGCAAATGCTGGTTTGCGATATGGGGGCAATGGGAACTGTAGTCCTACACACCCGGTGGGCTGGTTGCCTTGCTCAGTGGGTTCACCTGTGTGAAAAAAGGACACACTTCGCTGCTCTTGAGCTGACTTGCTATTGTGAAATCAGGTCACTCCGTTTAATCGTTGACGGTAACTGGAGCCGCAGTAACCTGGCCCAGCAGCTGGCAGGCAATTGATACCCCTTGGGATTAGGCAAGGAGCCAGTCCTCATTGATTTCACCTGAATGGCCAAGGGGCAGACGCCAGCTGACCTGTCGGGGCGGCTGAAAGTTGGCTGGTTACCCCTATGATGCTGAACCCTGCCATGTCTTTTAACTCTTGGAAAATGGGTTTTTAATCCCTGATGGGACCCTGCGAGGTAGGCCTGGTCATAAACTGCTATCCTTGGTTTAACCTCCTCGGAGGATTAGAAGAGACATCTCCCCTCGTGATTCAGTAAAACGGAGAAATAGTTTTGTTAAGAAATGTGGTTGTGATCCTTGGAATGGGAGAAGAGACAGAGGCAGGTGGTTTATGCGCCTTTTTTTGCTAAGGAGTGGGAAGAACTAATTTTGTTCAACGGCCATCCCTTTCATCCTGCGGCCATCCCTTTCATCCTGCGGCTCTTATTTCTCACCGCATATCTTTACACAAAGCCTGCTTGTATCGGCAGAGTAGAGACCTTTCAAAGCAGGTGAGTTGACAGGCCAATCCCCCATTGACTTCATAACAGTCCCCCAGTGAGTCTCTCTGGATCCCACCTAACCTCCTCACATTTATCTGTCTGTCTGTCTGTCTGTCTATCTATCTATCTATCTATCTATCTATCTATCTATCTATCTATCTATCCCCTTTCTGTCATGTCATATCATTATCTGTCTATCTATCTATCATCTCTACAATCTTTGTGTATCTATCTATAGCTATCCATCTATCTATCCATCTATCTATCTATCTATCTATCTATCTCCTTTCTCTCTGTCATGTCATATCATAACTATCTATTATCTCTCTATATCTCTCTATCTATCTATCTATCTATCTAGTCTACAATCTCTGTGTATCTATCTATCTATCTATCTATCTATCTATCTATCTATCTATCTATCTATCCCCTTTCTGTCATGTCATATCATTATCTGTCTATCTATCTATCATCTCTACAATCTCTGTGTATCTATCTATAGCTATCTATCTATCTATCTATCTATCTATCTATCTATCTATCTATCTATCTATCTCCTTTCTCTCTGTCATGTCATATCATAACTCTATCTATCATCTCTCTACAATCTCTATTTATCTATCTCTATCCATCTATCTATCCATCTATCTCTACCTATCTCTATCTATCTATCTATCTATCTATTTATCTATATCCATCTGTCTATTCTTCCTCCTCCTCTTCTTCTTCTTCCTCCTCCTCTTCTTCCTTCCTCCTCCTCCTCTTCCTCCTCCTGCTGAATCCTTCCTTCCTCCCTCCTCCTCTTCCTCCTCCTCCTCCTCCTCCTCCTCCTCCTCCTCCTCCTCCTCCTCTTCTTCTTCTTCTTCTTCTTCTTCTTCTTCTTCTTCTTCTTCTTCTTCTTCTTCTTCTTCTTCTTCTCTCTCCTCCTCCTCCCCCTTCTTCTTCACTTCCTACTTTTATTACTTTATAAGTAACTCAAGTTGATAAACGCACACGACGTTCCTTCCTCCTCCTACTTTCCCCACAAAAATAATCCTGTGAGGCCGGTTGGTCTGAGGGGGAGAGTGCGACGCAGTCACCCAGCCATGTTTTTTTTTACATCTAAGGCAGGACCAGAACTTACCGTCTCCTGGAGACTGGCCCAAAGTCACCGGCCATGTTTTCTCGGAATTGGGAAAAAAAATGTCTTCTCCAGAAAATTCCCCCCTTTACAAGATGGATCTAAGTGTTGGGAGCAAGGGGCGATCCTGTTGGCCTTTCATATTTGGGGGGAGAGGGAGCTGCGAACTCCCCAAAGGGCTTAAGCCTTGCTCTTCTTGGGAACAGCAAGTTTCAGCTAGTGTTTATTGACCCAACGGATTTTCCAAAACGCAACTCGGTGTTAAGCCAGGGTATCACATAACTTCCTTGAATTTCTCCGTTGATCCTGTTAGCGGTATTAATTTCTAATAGGTGAAGATATCGGGCATTTGAGCCTACCAGGGACACCACATGCCCTCTGCTGAGAAAGCTTGTCCCTTAAAGACGTATGGTAAGTTTAAAGTTCATTTCTCTTTTCTTTGATAAATTTATACAGCCACCTGTCCAGATGCAGGATCTTGAGCCTCTACCAGTTCAAAAGAGAATAATAATAATAATAAAAAAAACAGAATTAAAAAGAACAGTTTAAAACAACAGAGATAAAATGAAGTAACGCAGAAGCCAAGGATTATTCATATCGTTATATATGATGTGAGTTAGAAGCAAAACAGATTGCACTGCTCAGGAGCATCTTGAAACAGCTGCCTTTATATTTCAAATTCCAGATGTCTTGTAACCTTTATAGTGGCTTGGCCAAGATTTCCTTCCCCAATCAAAGTGCTTCTGTCTGTTGAATGCAGTAACGCTAAACCCGTTTCCCATGGGGAAAAAAAAAACACCCAAGTTTCTTTTTCTGTTCTGCTCTAAGATTGTTAAGAAGAAGACAGATCTCAGACACCTGATCTCCTTTTGTGGTTGAAAGAAAGTGGGTTTTCCCCCCAGGATGTTTCTTTTCTTTCTTTTTTTTTAAATATATTTTATTGGTTTTATAGTTTTAACAAAAAAGTACTTAAGACACACTGTGGTGTTTGGGTACACAAAGATTCCAACATAAAATCACACAATAACAGCTCAACTTAATACATTCACTATCATCTCCCTAGTTCCCTCAAGTAACATAGTAAATTTAATACACTTCATTTCTATCCTAAATTTCTATTACTACTAAACCTGTTTATTAAAACTTAAAATCGATTTCAATTACCATAGTCAGATAGTGTTTTAGAATAGCATATTATCACTTCAAATACTTCTTGCAAATATATTCAAATTCTTAATCCCTCTCATCCCTTTTCTATCACCAATCTTATTTATTTCTTCTTCCAATAACAACTAATTTAATAAATTAAAAATGCAATATTATCATATCTTATCAAATCATATTATTATGCACAAACATCTCTTAAGTAATTAAAGATTACACATGTATATAGTTATAGTTTTCTTACTTCTAAATTTGGTTGGACTAGATGACCTCCAAGATTCCTTCGAACCACTTCTCCTTCTCCTCCTCCTCCTCCTCCTCATTATTATTATTATTATATTAATTAGGCATAAAGGTCAGTCAACTGAACATTCAAATTGGCTGGTGCTGATGGTTGACACGGGTTACTACCAGCATCCTAGGTGTCAACAGGCACCTCCTTAAAATATAAGATGTTCTGAGTAGCGCAGTTTTTTGCAGCATGGCTGGAGTTATTGCAGTTTCCAAGGCCAGGTCACGATATTTCATAATTTTTTCATCAGTTCTTCGACTCTGGCATATCCTGGTACAGCGATATCAATTCAGCTGTACGCTTCGGTTCTCTACAACTGCGATATCCGGCGTGTTGTGTTTCCAAATGGCGATCTGTCTGTATTCGAAAGTCCTATAAGATCTTCACCCTCTCATTCTCAACAACTTTTTCCACCCTATGTTCCCACGACTTTTTGGACACAGGCAAGTCGTTTTTTTTTTTTTTTACACAATGCCCAGTGGATTAATTTAGCAACTCGGTCATGTCTAGCTTTGTAATCAGTTTGCGCGATTTTGCTGCACTCACATATTAGGGGCAAACTGATTACAAAGCTAGACATGACCGAGTTGGCAAATTAATCCACTGGGCATTGTGTAAAAAATACGATTTACCTGTGTCCGAAAAGTTGTGGGAACTATTATCATCATCATCATCATCATCATCTCTACGACGGTTGCAGCGTCCCTGGGGGGGGTCACGCAATTCCCCCTTTTGCGACCTTCCGACATGCAAAGTCCATGAGCCACCCAAATTCATTTAACAACTGTTTCACTAACTTAAAAAAGGCAGCGGTTCACTTCACAACTGCGGCAAGAGAGGTGTTAAAGTGGGGGCAAAACGGACTTCACAAAGGTCTCACTTAGCAGCCGAAATGTCGGGCTCAACTGCAGCTGTGGTTGAGGACTTACCTCTATACACAGGTTGACCATCCAATGTGTTTTTGCTTCCTGTCAGGTCCTCCACTGAGGTGTTGAGGCTTGTGCTGCATGTGGACCCGGAGACTGTCTGAATGTCACCTGTCGTAGACGACCAGGAGGGCAGGACGTGGCTGGTCTTTCCCAACAGCCTCACAATGATGTCTCGGAAGAAGACCCTCCTTCTCTTCCTTCTGGCCTTCAGCACTGGCACTCTGCTCCTGCGCCAGAGTGCCCACTTCAGCTGGTAAGCATCCGAGGGGGGGTCTCCCGCGAGGCTGGGAACCAGAGAAAGGAGCTGGATTAGTCCTGGGAATGCATGGTGGGGGGCTTGTCAGGAGGGAGAGAAATTGCAGGAAGAAGAACCTAGCCTCCCAATAAAGTACAATTTCAAAATTATCCTAGATCAGTGGTGGCGAACTTATGGCATGCAGAGCCTCTCTGTGGGCACACGTGCTGTCACCCCAGCCCCGCCTCCTCCCATGGCCCCCTCCTCACCAGCAGCCCCCCAGAGGAGAGTCACCCCCCGGGCGCGACCCACACGAAGCAGCACAGCGAAGGACATGGTAGCCGAGCAGCGGGGACAAGACTCTGCCCTTGTGCCCCGTCACGCGCAGATGATGCTGCGGGACACAGGTGGAGGGCGTGGCTGCCATGGCGCTGCTGGGCCACTTGGATGATCTGTGGCGGGCTGTGTAGGTGGTTGGTGGCCCAGTGGGCAAGGTGGAGCGGGAACGGGGTGGGGGGCAGGTTTTGGGCACTCGGTCTCTAAAAGGTTCGCCATCGCTGTCCTAGACAGATTTAACCATGGTTTCAGTTGGGGAAATGTGAGCATCCTGGACCGGGCCAAGTCCAAAAATGCCAGGGCATTTCCAGAAGCCTGGCCCACTGACCAATCGGCCCTCCACAGACACGCAGACATTAATAATACCTGTAGAGTATGCAAAAGGGACAATCAACCAGCCCCAAAGAGAAGAAGACTCCAGCACACATACACACACACACCAGTAGCCAGCACCCAGATCAGCATAGATTATCTCCAAGGTCAACTTCAGACCAACAATCAAGTAATTCAGTGGCCCAATCAAGAAACTGCCACACAGCCATTAGTAAACAGCCCAAGCAAAGAATCCCTAAGAACCCCCACCCACCCACCCAGACAGGCAAGACATCAGAATATAAACTGACGGGAAACTGCACTCCTTACTAGCACTGATGATGTCCCCTAGTTGGGTCATGAAACGTCTGCAAGAAAACAGCCAAGCTCAGAGAGCACCAAGGACGCCTCACCGCTGAAGGGGGATAGATCCAACAGTTAGCATGGCTGGGTGAAAGTGGTCCTTACTTAGGAAGAAGAAACGGGAAAGTGATAGAAACATGAGGGAAAGTGGATGGTGATCAGGAGTCTGGGGGTTAAACCATACGATGAACGATTGAGGGAACTGGGTCTGTCTAGCCCAGTGGTTCTCCACCTGTGGGTCGGGACCCCATTTGGGGTCGAACGACCATTTCACGGGGGTCGCCAAACAACGCAGTCCGCCATTTTTTTTCACCTTTTCCCTAGCTGTGCTACTCCCTTTTATTCTATTGGCTTTTGAAAGCCAATAGAATAGACTCTCTTGAATAGAGTCTAATTCTATTGGCTTTCCAAAGCCAATAGGAATTGTCCAGGCTGTCTCTGCCCTGCTGAGCCCGCCAAAAGTCCCATTCTGCAAACGGTGCTGCACCAGTTGAGTAGTCCTCGACTTACGACCGGTTGAGTAGTCCTCGACTTACGACCGGTTGGGGGTTGCGGCATTAAAAAGGTTGAGAACCACTGGTCTAGTCTAATAAAGAGAAGGACCAGGGGTGACATGATAGTAGCTGCCCCAGAGGGGCTGCCCCAGAGAAGAGGGGGTCAACCTGTTCCTCATAGCATGTCAAGGCAGGGCAAGAAGTAATGGATGAAAGTTTATCAAAGAGAGATTCAGCTTTGAACTAAGGAGAAATTTCCTGAGAGTGAGAACAATTAACCAGTGGAACAGCTTGCCACCAGAAATTGTGGCTGCTCCATCAGTGGAGGTTTTGAAGAAGAGATTGGACAGTCATTTGTCTGGAATGGCATAGGGTCTCCTGCTTGAGCCAAGGGTTGGACTAGAACAGGGGTCCCGACTGGGCTGTGGATGTGCTGGTGAGTGTGCGTGAAGCTGCATTTGTGAAAGCGGTGCATGCGCTCACAAAACCCTCTCCCCACCACCACGCCTCCGCTGGTCCGCTGAGCCAGAAAGGTCGGAGACCTGTGGATTACAAGACATCCAAGGTCCCTCCCTATTGTCCTCTGTTCCAATTAAAGGGAGCAGGAAATTACACGTGGCGCACGAAACCGAGATGCCATGGGGCTGGATGGTTTGTGGTTTGCAAACTAGCTAGGCAGAATGGGGTGAGGCAGGGGGTAGTAGTAAGTGTCCCTGGATGCCTTGTTTCTACCTCTGGTAGGTTCCCAAAGTCTTCTCCCTTCAGCTGCGCGCCGTGGGTCTCCCCGCACCCGAAGCAGACTGCCGTGGCCTTCCTGAAGACCCACAAGACAGCCAGCAGCACGGTGCAGAACGTCCTCTTCCGTTTCGCCGAGCGGCACAACGTGACGGTGGCTCTGCCCCTCCACGCCTGCGACCACCAGTTCTGCTACCCCCACAACTTCTCTGCCCGCTTTGTGCACCCGTACACCCTCCCGCCCCGCCTCATCGCCAGCCACCTGCGCTTCAACCACGACGAGCTGCGCCAGCTCATGCCCAACGACACCGTTTATATCACCATCCTGCGCGAGCCGGTGGCCATGTTCGAATCCCTGTTCAGTTACTACAATCAGTACTGCCCGGCTTTCCAACGGGTGCCCAACGGATCGATGGAGACCTTCCTGAACAATCCGTACCGGTACTATCAGGCCCATGAGAAGTACGCCATGTACGCACACAACACCTTGGTGTACGACCTAGGGGGTGACCCCGAGCGTAGCCCCGAGGACCCCACATACCTCCCCAAATTTATCCGTCAAATGGAAGGCATTTTCTCCCTGGTGATGTTGGCCGAGTATTTTGATGAATCGTTGGTCCTTCTCCGCCATCTGCTGTCGTGGGACCTGGAGGACATCCTCTACGTCAAGCTGAACATGCGCAGCCTGGAGTCCAAGCTCAACATCAGCTCGGCCCACGTGGCGGCCCAGATCCGCGCCTGGAACGCGCTCGACGCGGCTGTCTATGACCACTTCAATGCCACTTTCTGGAGGAAGCTGAGCAAGATGGACCAAGGGTGCCTCCAGAAAGAGGTCCGCGCCCTTCACCAGGGCTGCGAGCGCCTGGCACGCCACTGCTTTCGTGGCCAGCCCCAGCTGCGCCCAGCCATGCAGATCAAGAACAAAGACCTCCGGCCGTGGCAGCCGAGCGCCAAGGTGGATATTCTGGGTTACGACTTGCTGGGCTCAGGGCCCCCCTTGGATGAGCAATGCCTCAAACTGGTCATGCCCGAGGTACAGTATTCCCACTACTTGCTACGGAAGCAGAGCCTCAAGCATCGGCGTCGGGCCGTCCTCCATCGGCCCCTCTCGCCCCGAGGACTTCTACACCCACCGCGGCACCCGGCCGTCAAAGCTTCCTGAGCAGGATGGTGGGGACTTAAAAGATGTCACTGGGTTAAAAAAGTTGTGCTGGCGGAGTTCTCGTATCAATGAGCTTGATTATTTCTTTTCCTTTTTTCTCCCCTCTGGGTCTCCAGGACATTTTAACCCAATTTTATCCACTTAAGAATTTAGGACCGAAGCATCTAGGTGAGCGGGACTCTCCTTTTAGATGCCCCAAAGGAGTGATCTATTTTCAGCAGCGAGGACTTAAAAACCATGAATAGGTGCTGTGGATTGACTGACTTCTTTCCTTCCTTTCCTTTCCTTTCCTTCCTCCCTCCTTTTCTTCTCTCTTTCCTTCCCTCCCTCCTTTTTCCTTCCTTCCTTCCTTCCTTCCTTCCTTCCTTCCTTCCTTCCTTCCTTCCTTCCTTCCTTCCTTCCTTCCTTCCTTCCTCTTGTTTATTTCCATGAACCAGAACAAATTTGGGGCTGTTTCCTATCTGGGAATGTTTGGGGCTGGTCTTCACAACCTCCTCATCTTCTGTAGCCTTCCCATGTTTTTTCCAGTGCTGTTTTTGTCTTTCCTTCCTCTCCTATGAACATCTAATTTTTTTTTCTTTTCACAATGGCTGAATTCTGGGAGTTGAAGTCCACAAGCTTCTGTTTTGCTGCTCTGGTGTTCTGCATCCATTCTGATTTTAGGTAACGATGATTAAACAGGTCACACTCCTGTTCAGCCGCCCCACATGGCAGGCACTGCTCTATTTATTTTATTTATAGATTTATTGCAGAGTTGTCCCACTTTCCTCCAAAGACCCAAGGTACCTGCATATAAACACACACCTTCTGTTTTATCCTCACAACAGCGCTGTGAGGCAGGCTAGACCAGAACCAAAGTTGCATGTGGGGTTGCGCCCGGATTTGAATGTGCATTTTCTCCGGTCCTAGCTCAACGCTCTCAATCCTTTTAAGTAGCACTAAATGGCTTTCCTAGTGAAAGGTTATTTAAAAAAAAAAAGCACTGTTGTGTTACAGCTGTCTTGGGGAAAAAAAAAATTTTTTTAAAATAGGAAATGAAAGCTGAAAAGGATACCTAGAGGTTGTAAGGCAGTGGTTCTCAACCTGTGGGTCGGGACCCCATTTGGGGTCGAACGACCATTTCACGGGGGTCGCCAAACAACGCAGTCCGCCATTTTTTCCCCCCTTTTCCTTAGCTGTGCTACTCTTTTATTCTATTGGCTTTTGAAAGCCAATAGAATAGACTCTCTTGAATAGAGTCTAATTCTATTGGCTTTCCAAAGCCAATAGGAATTGTCCAGGCTGTCTCTGCCCTGCTGAGTCCGCCAAAAGCCCCAGTCTGCAAACGGTGCTGCACCAGTTGAGTAGTCCCTGACTTACGACCGGTTGGGGGTCGCGGCATTAAAAAGGTTGAGAACCACTGTTGTAAGGTGTGCTGTGCCTGTGAATTCATGTCCGAGGCAAAAAAAAAAAAAAGTGGAATAAGTGGGTTTGAAGTAGGAAAGAGATGTCCAAAAGCACAATATTCCTCTATATACCGATCTAATTCCGCCTTTCATTTATAGAGGAAGAACAATGGATTATTAATGGTTGGAACGGTCTGTTCGGAAAAATCTTTATGTCTTTCCTCTGTAATTCCTCTTTATTTTTCCTGTATTACAGCAGTTTTCAAAGTGTAGTCCGGGGAGTCCTGAGACTCTTTTAGGGATTTTGTGAAATCAAATATTTTAAATTTTCTCAGTTTAAAGTTCTGATCAATGGATATATTCTTAACTATCTATAGATATAACCCACACAGTCATTTTTAAGGGGTCCAGAGAACGACTGCTAAATTACATACAGGTAGTCCATGACTTGCAGCTGTTCGTTTAGCGGCAGTTCAAAGTTACAACGGGACTGAAAAGAAGCAATTTAAAACCGGTCACTACGACATGCCCATGTGATTCAGATTCAGAGTTTTGGCAACCAGCTGGCTTTCGACAAGCATTATGCAATGGGGGAAGCCGGATTCGCTTAATGACTGCATGGCTCACTTAACAACGGTGGTGATTCGTTTAACAACTGTAGCGAAAGGGTCATAAAATTGGATGCGGCTCACTTAACCACCTTGCTTAACAATGAAAATTCTAGTCCCAACTGTGGTCATAAGTCAAAGACTGCCTGTACCTGAACCCCACTCCGATCCATAGCTTCTGCCTGTGCTCCTCTGCTGAATTTCCCAACATCTGTCTTTCCATTTGGGTTGACCTGTCCCTGATACATCTCTTCTGTCCTGCTGGCCACTAACTAATCTTCCAGACCTCAGATGCAGAATCCTTTAATACTCCACTGTTAGTGGGAGGTTAAATATAAGGAATAAAATAGAGCTGGAGGGGACCTTGGAGGTCTTCTAGTCCAGCCCCCTGCTCAAGCAGGAGAACCTATGCCATCGCAAGACAAATGACTGTCTAGCCTCTTCTTAAAAATCTCCAGTGATGGAGCGCCCACGACTTCTGGAGGCAAGCTGTTCCACTGGTTAATTGTCCTCACTGTCAGGAAGTTTCTCCTTAATTCCAGGTTGCTTCTCTCTTTGATCAGTTTCCAACCATTGTTTCTCGTCCTGCCTTCAGGTGCTTTGAAGAATAATTTGACCCCCTCTTCTTTGTGGCAGCCCCTCCAATAAAGGGAACACTGCTATCATGTCTGCCCTGTTTCTTCTTTTCTTTAGACTAGCCAAACGCAAGTCCTGAAGAGTCGTGAATCAATTGGTACAATGAGATTTTTAGGCTTTAATGAGAAATACAAATCATGCTTTAAGGGACAGATAGTTCAAAGGATCTGCTCCATTGATGTTTAATTGCTGTCCTCTTACCGCTGGCATTGTAGGTGACCTGCAATGAGAAATGCATCTCTTTGCTAGAACAGAAAAAGACCCTCCTGCAAATGATCTCGTAGCTTGGCTCCTGAGAAAAATAAATCCAGAACTTGTTCTCCTGGGTTCATTTGTGTCATTCGTCCGGCGCCTTTTCTTTTCCCCAGCGTGTAAAACTGGTTGGTTTGGCCCAGTTTACAGTTGTGTAAGAGACAAGTCTGGGGAAGGAACAAGAAGTTTCTGTGAAATTTTGTAGATATCAAGACCTGCTTCTGTCAGCCTAGGACGGTGTTGGCTTGAAGAGAAAGGATATGAGCCAAAGGCTTGGGAAGAGAATTATCCAAAGGCTTTCCAACACATCTGAGGAGACAGATGATGATTTACTGTGCTTCACTGAGCTGCTTAGTCTTTGTCCAGGCACATCAATTCTCTTTGGGGAGCACAGACCCAGCATATTTTGCAAAGGTTGAAAGCTGGTCTCCAGCCAGAACTGGATGGCTGCAATAAATCATATTGGCTGATTTCATTTACAATAAACGAGGTTGCATTTAGTTGCTTCGTTTCTGGTGATTTTTCAGAGTGTATCTTGCTACCCATCATCCAGGGGTGCCAGATAAGCCTCTTTCAGCCCTTCAGAAGCACCAGGCTGACCACTTTTAAAAGCAGGAGATGAAGACAGCCATAACTATCGTACTGGACTTTTCAGCGCAATTGCCCACTTAAGCCAACAGAGGGCAGTGCTTTACCTCCTCTCTTTCCTTTTTCTTAAGTTCAAGCTGCTTAACAGAATTACTGCCCTCTACTGGATCAGGTAGGCAATTGCAGCTGAAAAGCCAACAAAGGAATACAGGACAATTTTGTTGTTGTTAGTTGCGAAGTCGTGTCCGACCCATCGCGACCCCATGGACAACGTTCCTCCAGGCCTTCCTGTCCTCTACCATATTCTGGAGTCCAATTGATGCCTTCTGATGGATGATCTAGTTACTGAGTAGCTTTTTATCGACTGACTTTTGAGTTATTTCTAGTGGAATGAATGATGAGATGTGTCATGAATGCGTTTGTGCTTCCTGGCTCCTTTAACAAGAGATGCAGAGGATCAAAATAAAACCTGTTAAAGCATACCTTTTGGGTTTTCCCCCCCAAAAGACTGATAGGTTTCAGATTTGTTCCCTTCCTTTTTAAAAAGAACTTTAAAACTGTCTTTATCTGTTTCTCCAATGATATGCTGCAGAGGTGTTTCCAGTATTTTATGCCCAAGCATCCCATGTCATTCAGGATCTGGCAATCATCTATTTATAAAACATTTGAAACTAAAAGTGATATTCTTCAGGTTTCCTTGGCTAAATACCAATATATGTCAGGAGAAATGAGGCTTTTGTCCCCAAAGGCTGTTGAACAAATAATATCATACACTAGTGAGTTTGGTAGACCAGACTGTTTATTTAATACATTTCCTTTTAGAACAGAATAGAATATTCATTATTGGCCAAGTGTGGCTGGACACACAAGGAATTTGTCTCCGCTGCATAAGCTCTGTGAACTTATTAACAACAGAGTGTTAAATCATAAATCATGATACAATCTTAAATCATAAGATACAAACATCAGAGCGATAAATCACAAGATACCAATAGCAGAAATTAAAAGGAAAGATAAGGACAATAGTAATACAGCCCTACTATATACTAAAGATGCTACATGTCTTTAGACATAAGACAGTGCTGTGGGAATTAAGTGTTCAGCAGAGTGATGGCACAGGAGAAAAAACTGCCTAGTTATTTATATCCACCATTAATCTGTCAATTCCAGCAATTTTTATCTTGTGAAAGAGCTCCAATTATCCACCCTAGACCTTAAGAATCTCTTATTTTGTTCCCTGGGGCAGTGTTTAATGCATTTATTTGTCATATTTAAGTACAGGTAGTCCTCAAGTTCATTAAGTGACCATTCAGATTTACAATGTCACTCAAAGAAGTGAATGATGACCATTTTTCACACTTAAAACGACCATTGCAGCATCCCCACGGTGATATGATCAAAATTCAGACGCTTGGCCACTGACTCATATTTATGACAGTTGCAGTGTCCCGGGGTCGTTTTGATTCCCCTTTTGTGACCTGACAAAGTCAGTGGGGAAGCCAGATTCACTTTACAGCCGTGTTACTAGCTTAACAGCTGCGGTGATTCACTTAACCACTATGGCAAGAAAGGTCGTAAAATGGGGCAAAGCTCAACAACTGTGGCTTAGCAACAGGAACTTTGGGCTCCATAGTGGTTGTAAGTCGAGGACAACCTGGACTACCTCCCTCTCTCAGAGGGACTCTGTTGAGGTGGGGACTACACAAAGGAATAGAATATAGAATAGAATAGAATATAGAATAGGAATACAGAATAGAATTATAGAATAGGAATAAAAAAAAATAGGAATAAAAAATAAAATGGAATAAGAGTAGAATAGAATAGGAATATAGAATAGCTTTATTGTCACTTTAATATTGTCATACATTAAAACGGGTTCTCAACCTTGGCAACTTTAAGACTTGTGGACTTCAACTCCCAGAATTCCTCAGCCAGCTTAGCTGGCTGAGGAATTCTGGGAGTTGAAGTCCACAAGTCTTAAAGTTGCCAAGATTGAGAACCCAAATGCTGATGCCTACGAAAGGCTGACCACAGCCCTGCAAGGTAGTCCATTTTATGCCTGGCATAGAAAGGACGGGGCTGAGGACCATTTTGGAGCCCCAGCCTCATCTTTTCCATTCAAAAGGTCCCTCAGGCGTGGCGACCACCCGCCATTTCGAGTCCCCCTCCCCATGCTTCAGCACCACCTCACTTGAGGGGCCCACCACACCAAACGGGAGATTGGGGGGGCCATATTTCTTTTTAAAAAATCACATGGGAAAAGCCCCAGGAGGAAGATTTTAAGCACAGAAATGGGTTTGTCTCGTTGCTGAGGAGGCGAGGAGGCCGCCATCTTCGCTACCCCCCTCCACAGCAAGGCATTCTCTCGTTGCCATGGGAACAGGCGCCCACGGAACCCTCCCGACGCCCCGCGTGCGCCTCAGTGACGTCATCGCGTTTCGGGTGAACGAGCGCCATTTAACAGCGGGGTGAAGGCCAGGCCTCCCAGCATGCAAAGCGCCGTTGTGTGACCTCGCTGACTCCAAGATGGCGGCGCCCAGCTAGGGCTTGCTTGAGGGAACGGGCGCCATTTAACAGCGGGGCAAGGCCAGGCCTCCCAGCATGCAAAGCGCCGTTGTGTGACCTCGCTGACTCCAAGATGGCGGCGCCCAGCTAGGGCTTGCTTGAGGGAGGCTGTTAGGTAGGGAAGGGCGCGGCGGAGGAGCCCGGGGCGACGAAAGACGGAGGACCGAAGCTTAGGAAGGGAGGCCGGGGAGAGGTTCGGACCAGGTGGGATTCTTCTCCGGGTCTTTCCGGGTCGCAGAAATGGCTTCTTCGATTCCTGCTCTTGAGTTACGGGGTGAAGGGGGGAAGGGAGTTGGTTGTGAGAAACGGTGGTGATAAAAGTTACCCCTCCGTGCACATGCTTTAATTTAATGGATGGACTTCAACTCCCAGAATCTCCCAGTCAGCAGGCTTTAAAGTGGGTGGATTTCAACTCCCAGAATCCCCCAGCCAACATGCTTTAAAATGGGTGGATTTCAACTCCCAGAATCCCCCAGCCAGCATGCTTTGAAATGGGTGGACTTCCCAGTCCCAGAATTCCCCATACCAGCCATAATATACTATATACATACACAAATACTATAATTAATCCACTAAAGGGGTTAGATTTGCACAGTTATGCAGTTTACACAGCTTACAGTTAACCTGGTTTGATTTGCCCAGTTAACCGTGATCAAATTTAGCATGCTGTGGGCATGCAGTCCTCTGGGTATATCTTTCCCATTGAGCTACAAACAACCCAACCTGCTGCCTTTGCAAATTGTGCTGCAGCATAAACCCAGCCTGGTGCCCTCCCAGGGGTGTTGGGTGATAATCCTCCTAATTTCAGGCTGGCAATGTTGGGCATTGTGATAACTATGTTCAGTACTTTTTTTCTTTAAAAAAAAAAAGTGCCAGAACTCACACATGTCATACAACCCAACCCGCCTTGCCTACCCTACAAGGTTCCATCCAAAAAAGGTGCCGGAAGTTCTTTCTGGGCATTCTATGAGAAAAAAAAACCCTGACTATATTACTGGATGAAACCAGGCTGGGGATGGCTGGAGTGTTAGATATTGAAAAGTGGCATTCACATGGTCTGGTTTCAGGTTATTTGGTTAGCTGGTTGTTGTCATTGAGACATCTGGTTTACATCGCACAAAAAGGTATTTAAAGGCCAGTGCTCTGATAAATGAGCAAAATTCAAAGTGCATTGAAGATGTCCCCCCGAATAGAGATGAAACATTTGCAACCGAATTGCCAAGCTCGGAGAACGAACCTACAGCCTATATAACTGTCTCCCAAGGAGATGAAATTGAATTTTTCTCCCTGTGATCCCCATGTCAAACAGTTTGTATCACCTTTGCGCTGTCCTCCTTGTATAAGATCAGTGTTCCTCAACCTTGGCACTTTTATGCTGTGTGGACTTGAACTCCCAGAACTGAACATGCTGGGAATTGGGCTGGCTGGGGAATTCTGGAGTTGAAGACTGCACATCCTAAATCCGTTAAGGTTCATTCTGAGATTTCAGTCATCCCAAATCCTCTTTCAGCTAATCTCTTTTTAATCTAGGTCCGTGCAGAACCGAAACCAGCATGTCGAAGCTTGCCCAAGCGGGCAAAGCAGCGCTACAGATAACTGGCGGAGGGGTGATCCGGTCAATCATCAAAGCTGGACAGGCTGTTCCAGGTCCACCACTAGGACCTGCTCTTGGACAGGTAACCATAGGAGAAAGACAACAAAGTTAGGTTCATTTTTATAAAGATAGCATCTGAGACTAGACCAGGGGTGGGGAACGATGGCCCTTTATGACTTGTGGAGTTCAACTCAGGAATTCTGGGAGTTGAAGTCCACAAGTCATGAAGGGGAGGGGCGTCGTTCCCCATCCCTGGAATAGACCAACAAGGCAGAAGAACTGGGCACAGACTGGGATGGGAACTAAGTTCTTTTGTTGCTTTTCTCCTCCAAATGAGTCAAGGTTATCCATACATTAATGAAAGAACTTGAAAGCAGAGCTCAGGCAACACACTAAATATTTTTTCAGGAAAAGACACACTACTGCGTTTGTGTCAAGCACAATAAAATCGGGAAGCAAAGGATTGAAATGACTGTAGATTTACTATGTGTGAATACTCTCTACAAGAATCTGAACTAATGGTCACAACAATAGATAAGACTCAAGGGAATTCAAGGTGGGCTGGACTTAGATCTCATGTGGGCAAGAAGGGACTCCAGATTGATGATGCACTTTGACCCCTCTCTCGGACTCTGTCTGGTCATCTCCTACATCACCCACCCCCAACTTGATCCCTCTCATCCTCCATGGGCTGTTTGATGCTGCTTTTCCCCTCTTGCATTGTCTGAGTTCTCACGGGAACTGGACAAAGGCCAAAGAGAAGCAATTTCAGAGGAATCTTGTCCCCCTCTGAAGGAGCTGGCGAGGCAGGTGATGGTTGCTGAACCTCTTTGATGATGTCTTGAACAAGTGTCACATAGAGTTGGATCAGCACAAAGAGACGTTTTCTGGGAAAACAGGATCCTGGGTTGAGGTTTTCAACTGGCTAAACTTCTCCCTCTTTCTCTCTCTTCCTGCAAAAAGTATGGTATCCCCATCGGACAATTCTGCAAGGATTTCAACGAGCGGACCAAGGACTTGATATCAGGCATCCCGCTGCCCACCCTAATCACCATAAAGGTGAGACGAGATCTTCCTTTCTTCATTTCAAAGAGTTTTGCGAGCAAGAGGTTCTGGGGCAGGGGTCGGCAACCTTAAATATTCAAAGAGGCACTTGCACCCGTTTCCCAGAGAAAAGAAAACACTGGGAGCCGCAAAAGTTGCCCGCACGCATGGACAGGAGGGGGGAAGCTTGATTGAAGAGTTTAATTAAAACGAAATAGAGGCTGCGGTGCCTGAGTTCGTGTTCTCTCTCTCCCCCTCCCTCCCTCCCTCTCTCTCTCCCCCCCTCTCTCTCCCCTTCTCTCCGATCTTCTGCTCAGCTGGCAAATTGGCTTCACGCTGTCCTCCGACAAGCTGACACACATTCTTATTGGGCTGGCTCTCTCCTGCCCTTGGTCTGCCAGTCCTCTTCCCCCACTCAGTGTGAGTGAGTGTGTGTGTGTGTGTGTGAGAGAGAGAGAGAGACAGAGAGAGAGAGAGAGATAGAGCTGATGCTTCCTGCTTCCTGCTTCGACGCAGCAAAGGCAGGAGCCCCGCCTAATAAGCTTGTCAGCTTGTTGGAGGTCAGCGTGAGGCCACTCTTTTTTACACACACACACACATACAGAGAGAGAGAGAGAGAGAGAGAGAAGGGAAGCGCAAGTGCCTCTCTGTCTCTCTCTCTCTCTCTGCAAATGGCAGAGGAGGCTGGGAGCCACAAGAGATAGCTCAAAGAGCCACATGCGGCTCTGGAGCTGCCGGTTGCCGACCCGTGGGGTAAACCTGGAATTGCCCCACAGATCATCTGTTCTGTGGGGGAAAAGAATAAGAAAATAATACACTACTTAAAATACATAGCTTTGACTATATATGGCAGGGGTCTTCAAATTTGGCCCCTTTATGACTTGTGGACTTCAACTCCCAGAATTCCTCAGCCAACTTGGTCCTTTTATGACTTGTGGACTTCAACTCCCAGAATTCCTCAGCCAGGCACGCTTGACATACGGGCAGGAAAACTGCCACAAATGACATTGTTGGGTAAAAATAAACATCCCCAACATTGTATTACAAAGAACACAACAGATTCATATTTTTTTTTTTTACAATGCACTGAAATGCCTAATGTGTTCCATTTCTCAATATATGCGTTTCATAAAACTCCAGCGTTCTATTTTTATTTCTCCGTTTCCTTTTTTATTTTTACACGCTTCTAGTCTGACCGGTCTTACGAACTTCAGATAAACAAACCAACAACTACGTACTTTTTACTCTCGGCAGCCGGGATAGAAAAAGGAGCGTCGTCGCCTGGTAAGAAGAAGAATCGGAAGAGGGAAAACTGGGCGCCTGGGAGGGAGAAGGCTGGCTGAAGGAAAACAGAGCAGATGATAGGACTCCCCCTATCCACAGAGAGGGCTCTGAGTGCAGCCTCTGCCACACGTGCCATAGGTTCGCCACCACTGACCCAGATTGTTGCGGGCAACAGGCTGACTCTGTAAACTGTTTAGAGAGGGCTGTAAAGCACTGCGAAGCAGTGTATAAGTCTAAGTGCTATTGCTATGTACAACCATCTCCATCCTTGGTAGGACATGAGATAGCTGGGATGGTGACTCTGAAGCACCTATATGAGATTGCGCTTGTGAAATCCCAGGACACCTCATTTGTGAACCGCGACTGGCCGATGGAAACAGTCATCAGGTCCCTGATTGGAACCGCCCGGTCGTTAGGCATCAAAGTAGTGAAAGAGTAAGTATCAAGAGGGTCGGTGGGGCGGGAGCTAGGACCTTTTCCCACGGACTTAGTGGGACCAGGCAGCTGGTTCTCAACTTGTGACCACAAATGAGCCCAGAACGTCTTCCTTTTTTATATATAACAAGTTTTTATTGGTTTTCCAGTTTTACATTTAAGTATTTGGAAAGCAGCGTGGTGATTGGGTAGTCAATAGTACAATAACAAAATCTTTAGTACATATCTCAGGATACATCATCAAGAAATTCCTTCTTTATTTCCCTTAACATTTACTATATCATATTTAAGCTAATAGATTCCTAGTTGTGACAAGCTCAGTTAAGACATTTATCCTTACATTTTTGCTTGTACATATATATATATGTAGGATATATATATATCCTTTATTGCCCTTGGAGCTGCCCCATTGCATTCCTCTATCCTACCCGCTTCTCTGCTCATTCGTGCATCTGGGATTTGTCCCAGCTGTTCTTCATCACTGTCCAACTCAGGCTCCCAGCACAGCTGTGTCTCAGCCTGAGCGCGAGTAGAGGGGCCAGGCTCCTCGTCTGACTGTAAGTCTTGGAGCTCCTCAGAGGCTTCCACTGACTCTGATGTCACTCCAGCCCCTCCTCCTCCTCTAATTCCTCAGACTCAGCTGCCGGGTCCACCGGCTGGCGAAGAATCACAACAGCCATCTACTGGCTGAATGCTCCTATAGTTGTTGCATAGAGATACACATTCCAACGATGAATTCCAAACAATGTGTAACATGTACACAGTTGTGAATCTCTGCTCTTCTCTCCTCCGGTTAGGTTAAATGCAGAAGAATACGGAGTCTTTCTGAAGGAGCGTGAAGAGAGGTTGGCTGCTGAGGCCGAAGCCAGAGCAGCTGAACGGATGGCAAAGAAAAAAGAGATCATTGCGGCTTCAAGTGCTACAGCAGCCTGAGAGGTAGATCTTTGGGAAGGTGATGCTCTAAGCAGGGGGGTCTTGCCCCATTCCCCCCCCCCATAGCATGGCTGGTGAAGTTTGCACACAAAATCTGCAGGCTGAAGAAGAGAAGGAAGAACTTGGGAATTGCCAAACCAGGATTGTTTGCGTCAATATTCTCAGACTCTTTTGAATTAATCACGGCAAACCCAAGATCTTTCCCACGTCCGGCCCACGTTGATGCGTCTGGGTTGGCCGTTCAGATTTCTGGCTTCTGCCTTTCTTTTTCTTTTTCTTTCCTATTTTTATTTCATTCAAAAAAGAAAAAAGTTAAAACACAAAAGTCCCAAAATTCAAGAGCGTAGGACAAAGCTTGCGTCTTTCCGTTGACCCAAAGAATAAACCTGTTGGAGGTTAACTGCCACAAGATTTTTTTTTTTAATATAAGATTTTATTAGGTTTTTTCCATACATGCAATAATATTTTTTCAACCAATGTGCTGTTTGAGTTTAAATACGCTAATACCTATTTCATTCCTAATCCTTTATTCTTTCTCTAACCATCGGTAAAAATAAGTCCCAAGTTTGATAATATTCTGTTTCTCCTTTTTCTTTCAGTCTCGTAGTCCTGTCCATCTCTGCGCATTCTAGTATTTTTTTGATTATTTCTTCATTTGATGGTATTCCTTCATTTTTCCAATATTGCGCAAATACTATTCTTGCTGCTGTTATGATGTGTAAAATCAAATATAGGCTTTGTTTGTTAATCTTTTCTGGCATTATACCTAATAAAAACAGTTCAGGTTTAAAACCTATATATTCTCCCAACATCTTTTCTAACCAAGTATGTATCTTTTCCCAATAATTCTTTGCTTTATCACATGTCCACCAAACATGATAATACGTGCCTGAGTTATGTTTACATTTCCAACATCTATCTGACATATTTCTAAACATTTTTGCTAATCTTGCGGGTGGCAAATGCCAGCTATAAAACATTTTATATGAATTTTCTTTATAAGAAGTTGACATTGTCAATTTATAATTTCTTTCCCATAAATTTTTGCCATTTTTCTAATTCTATGTTATAGCCAAAGTTTTTCGCCCGTCTTACCATTGTTTATTTAAATGGTTCGTTTTCCATTTCCATTTCCAAAATTAATAAGAAATTATACACTTTCTCATCTGAAGTTAACAAAGTCTTATCAGATATCGTCTGTTCTTTATAAAATCCATACAGTTTAATTGCCACGTGATGTTTAATCTCTTGTCATTCGGCAAGGAACACAACACAAAAAAATTACAGATAATTCTCGACTTCACAGTCGCAATGGGGGCCAGAATTCCCGTTGCGAAGAAAAGCGGTTAAGTGGGTCACATGTATTTATGACCTTTTTTTTTCATGGTGGTTAAGCGAATCACCACAGTTGTTAAATGAATCATGCCAGTGTGAAGCAAAACCAGCTTCCCTTATTGACTTTGCTTGTCTGAAGCTGACTGAGAAGGTCACAAATGGAGACCACACAAATCTGGGATGCTGCAACTGACACAAATACATGTTCTCAAGTGTCCAGGTTTTGATCATGTAACCTTGGGGATATTGTGATGGTCCGAAGTGCAAGGACCCCATCATAAGTCACTGTTTTCAGCACTGTTGTAAATTCAAACGTCTGTTAATCAAATGGTCGTAAATCAAGGACTGTCTGTAGGCTCCAGCCAAAATGAATGCTGAATGCAGAATGAGAGTGAAAATGAGAATGGAATGGAATGGAATGGAATAGAATAGAATAGAATAGAATAGAATAGAATAGAATAGAATAGAATAGAATAGAATAGAATAGAATAGAATAGAATAGAATAGAATAGAAGCTGGAAGGGACCCTGGAGGTCTTCTAGTCCAACCCCCTGCTCAGGCAGGAGAACCTACACCATCTCAGACAGGTGATTGTCCAGTCTCTTATTGAAAATCTCCAGGGATGGAGTGCCCACGATTTCTGAGGGTAAGCTGTCCTCCCTGTCAGGAAGTTTCTCCTTAATTCCAGGTTGCTTCTCTCTTTGATCAGTTTCCAACCATTGTTTCTCGTCCTGCCCTCTGGTGCTCTGATGAATAACCTGCCCCCCTGTATGGATTGATTAGATTGCTTTTAACCTTCCTAAACTGAAAAGATAATTTACAATTTACAATGCCTTGGAATCCTGCATCCAGTTTTGGTCACCACGATGTAAAGATGTTGAGACTCTAGAAAGAGTGCAGAGAAGAACAACAAGGATGATCAGGGGACTGGAGGCTAAAACATATAAGGGACGGTTGCTGGAATTGGGGATGTCTAGTTTAATGAAGAGAAGGACGAGGGGGGACCTGATAGTATCTCAGGGGCTGCCCCAAAGAAGAGGGAGTCAAGCTATTTTCCAAAGCACCTAAGGACAAGACAAGAAGCAATGGATGGAAACTAACCAAGGAGAGAAGCAACCTAGAACTAAGGAGAAACTTCCTGACAGTGAGAACAATTAACCAGTGGAACAACCTGCTTCCAGAAGCGGTGAAGGCTCCAACACTGGAAGTTTTTAAGAAGAGACTGGACAGCCATTTGTCTGAAATGGTCTAGGGTTTCCTGCCTGAGCAGGGGGTTGGATTAGATGATCTCCAAGATTCCTTCGAACTTTATTATAACTATTATTATCTCCTGATAAGAAAAAGTGTCTTAGTGTCAACCGGCATCTGGTTATCCAATTTCAAACAAGCTTTGTAGTTGATTTGCTGTGCAAGGCGGGGTTTACTCTTACCTTGTCCCACCATCTTTCCTCTTTCGTTTTTCTTCGTTGTGTTCACTATTAAAAGGAGTGTAAGATGGGTCTTGATGTTCTCCTTTTCTTAGGAAGACCCCCACTTCATCAGGGTACCCTAACGAGCTGCTTTTAAACTATCTTCCAACTCGGTGACTTATTGAGAAGGTAAACTGAGGCAGAACCTCGTGCCAGTTTTGGCTGTCCCGAACCACTTTTGTATGAGTTTTGAAAGAATCAAAGTCGCCATGACAAATTTCCCGGTTTCTTTGCGCTCAGCCCTGTTGCGTCTCTCTCTTCGTTCCCTACCCAGCGAATATTTTTTTTGCTCTGAAAAATACTCTTGACGTACCTCAGAAAACTTCTTTCTACAGGATTAAGTCCACGTTTCCTACAAAGTCTTTTCTTTTTCATGTCGTTCAGCATCCACCAGAGGTCCCACTGTGGAGGTTGACCTGATGATAATTTACTGCAGTTATTCAGGGTTTTTTATATATATATATATATTTAGGTGTATGTGTGTGTGTCTGATTGTACAAATCTTCTTGGGAGAAATGGCCATAATTTGGCGTAGTTTGGGAAATGAGGTAAATCATTTTCAATGGTTTTTGCTGAGGTGCAAATGTGTCATAGCTAGTTGTTGTCATTGTTGCTGCTCCTGCACGTCACCCTTAGTGACTGTCCAGGAACGAATCCATTGTCATTTTCTCGGGGACATTTTTTTACAAGGGGTTGATCAGTACTTAACTTTAGTCATTTATTTAGTCACCCGTCTTGCGACGTAACTGCACAAAGCGCTTAAAACCATGACAGAAACACAGTATAAATAACCAGAATGAACAAGAGAAATTAAAAACTACGAGCAGGATCTAAATTTTTTTTCCTGGCCTGGAATCAAGCAACTCGACCAACAGCCCACATCACTTCGTGGCCTAAAAACCGGAGAGAATTCAGCTAGTCCTTGGCTTATGACCTCAATTGGGGGCAGAATTTCCATTGCTAAACAAAGTTACAATGTATGGTTGTGAAAGTTGGACCATAAGAAAGTCCGAGCGCCAAAGTATGGAGTCCTTTGAACTCTGGTGCTGGAGAAGACTCCTGCGAGTCCCCTGGACTGTAAGGCGTTCAAACCGGTCGGTCCTAGAGGAGATCAACCCCGACTGCTCTTTAGAAGGCCAGATCCTGAAGTTGAAACTCAAGTCCTTTGGCCACCTAAGGAGAAGGAAGGACTCCCTGGAGAAGAGCCTGATGCTGGGAAAGATGGAGGGCAAGAGAAGAAGGGGACGACAGAGAATGAGGGGGCTGGATGGAGTCCCGGAAGCAGCAGGCATGAGCTTCAATGGACTCCAGAAGATGGTAGAGGACAGGAAGGCCTGGAGGAACGTGGTCCATGGGGTCGCGATGGGTCGGACACAACTTCGCAACTAACAACAACAAAGCAAAGGAGATGGTTAAGTGATGGTTACATTTACGACTGGCTTCCCCCGTTGACTTTGTCTGTCAAAAATCGGCAGGGAAGGTCAAACATGGTGATTGCATGACCTTGGGATACAATGGCCTTCAGTTCCTTATCAAAAACCAACCAGGGCAGAAGCTTCTGGATTTCCAGAGATTTGTTGTTACATTCAAAAGTCACAACTCGCGAATGGCCACTCCCAAAACGGCACACCCTAGTACAAATAGTTGAGCCTAAATTTTCCGTTTGCTTAGCAAAACAGTTCAGTGACTTTTTGCCCCATTTTACAACCTTTCTCGCCCGGGTCATTAAGGGAATTGCTGCAGCTGTCACACGGTCGCTAAGCGAATCCTGCTTCTCCCCCCCCATTGACTTTGCTTGTCGCAAGGTCGCAAAAAAGGGAATCACATGACCTGGGACGGTGCCACCGTCATAAATATGAGTCAATTGCCAAGCACCTGAATGTGGATCGCGTGACCACGGGGATGGTGCCATGGAAAGAAGTGTGACTTCCAGTGGCACGTCACTTTTTCCAGTGCCGTCGTAACTTTGAGCAGTCACTAAACGAATGGTTGTAAATCGAGAGCAACATGTATATTGACTGGCTTCCCCCAGCAGGTTTAACTCCCGACCCTGGATTTTAACATAAGCACGTTGCTTGCAAATGGTTAGTGTGTCCAAACTAGTAAACCACAGTTAGTCCTCAACTTAACAACTGGGAATTGAATTAAAGGGGGGGGGGGAGTCTTAAAGATAGAATCTAGCACACTTGTAGCAATAACCCAGCAAAAGCCAGAACTGAGCTAAACATTTTTATTTATTTAAAAGATTTAAATAAAGCTTACATTTATTTTTATTTGGGGCCTACACGGACTCATGTAATCCACGCTGAACTGTGGTGAATTGTGGCAGCTCTTAAAATTGATTGGTGCGTTTGGGAATCCCATCAGTGACGAGGAATGTAACCTTGACATCGGATGCTAGTGGTTTCTGTCTCCTCATTGGTACCTGGGGTTTCCATAGCAACAGATGAAGCTTCTTAGCATCCTTTTGCTACAGATGGGGTGAGAGGTGACTGGGCCTGGATACACCTATGGGAAAGGCAGCTTAAGTAGTTGAGGTTGCAGAGGCAATCCCCTGTAGATAGTTGGGTGTGCAAAGAAAGGGTACCCTGTAGATATTTTGCCCCAGGAATGTCAAAATTTAGCTGGCTGATTTATTCATAATAGTAGTAGTTCTTAACCTTGGCGGCTGGAAGATACGTTGACTTCAACTCCCAGAATTCCATATTACATGATGCCTGAAAATTCTGGGATTGAAGTCCATCTATCTTAAAGCACGCCGGCTGGGGAATTCTGGGAGCTGAAGTCCACCCATCTTCAAGCATGGCTATCTGGGGAATTCTGGGAGTTGACGTCCACTCATCTTAAAGGACGCTGGCTGGGGAATTCTGGGAGTTGAAGTCCACACATCTTCAAGCATGGCTATCGGGAATTCTGGGAGTTGACGTCCACCCATCTTAAAGGACACTGGCTGGGGAATTCTGGGAGTTGAAGTCCACCCATCTTCAAGCCTGCTGGCTGGGGAATTCTGAGAGTTGACGTTCACACATCTTTTAAGTTGCCATGGGTGAGAAACAGCATTGTGGCTTTTCTTTGCCTTCAATTTAGCAAAATATGTGACCCCCAACCACTGTTAATTTCTTTCACACACCCCCCACGCTAGACAATAAAAGCCCACTTGAAAACCCACTTTTTCCATTTTATTTCCTTTGTAAGTGGGGTTTCAGTGGGGGCAGTTTTATTCAATCTGTGCAAAGCAAGTTACACATTTGACACAGCACAGAATGGTTTCTACTTGCTTCAGCTTCCAAGCAAATGCAAATTGCAAGAACATTGCACCAAACGGGGGCAAGTCCTTCCCCTTTTAAACTAATTGTATTGGCACTGACTGGCCTCAACTCTCTTGAGTTTGAATAGGGAAGAAGATTGGTTCCACCATTTTATTTTATTGTTTATTTTATTTATGGTGCCTCTCTCGTTGTTGAAATGACTTTGTTGAACTGCAGATCATAGAATCATAGGACTGGAAGCAGCCTTGGAGGGCTTCTGAAGGCAGGAGTCCTTATACCATCCTAGTTTTATTTTTGAAAACTTCCAGTGATGGAGCACCCACAACTTCTAGTTGCAAGCTGTTCCGCTGGTTAATTGTTCTCACTGTCAGGAAATTTCTCCTTAGTTTTAGGTTGCTTCTCTCCTTGATGAGTTTCCATCCGTTGCTTCTCATTCTGCCTTCAGGTGCTTTGGAGAATAGCTTGACCCCCCCCCCTATTCTTTGGGGCAGCCCCTGAGATATTGGAACACTGCTATCATGTCCCCCCCTCGCCCTTTTCATTAAATTAGACATAACCAATTCCTGCAACCGTCCTTTATATATGTTTCAGCCTCCAGTCCCCTGATCATCTTTGTTGCTCTTCTCTGCACTCTTTCTAGAATCTCAACATCTTTTTTGTGTCGTGGCGGCCAAAAGTGGAGACAGTATTCCACGTGTGGGCTGACCAGTGTGTTGTAAAGCAGTACTATCCCTTCTTCTTGTCTTGATGTTCTCCCTCTGTTGAGGCAGCCTAGAGCTGCGTTGGCTCTCACATCATTTTCTCATATCAGATTAAAAGGGGGGAAAAAAAAGCTTTGGATGAAAAGCTGGCATCTGCCACTAAGTTATGATCTTCGTGCCAAGGATAAAAAAAAAACAGCCAGGATAAAAAAAAAACAAAAAAACGGGATGGTGTTTGGTGTTCTGTTCTCCTTATTTTACAGTTCTCCTTAACATCTCTGGTGTCAGCCATCCTCCGTTCGGGCACAGAACATAGAATAATAGAATTGGGAGGGTCCTTGAAGGTCATCTAGTCCAACCCCCTGCTTCAGCAGGAGACTCCGGTCCCTGCTATCCAAAAGCATGTCCATCCCCTGGATGCTGTTGCCATGGCGACGTGATGCAGGCTGAGAGGAGGGAGGGGAGGCCCCCCGATGACGCAAGAGCTCAGTTGCTTAGCACCACTTGTTTTCTTTCTTTTTTCTTTTTTTTTTCCCAAGCCTTTTTCTCCAATTTTGGCTGCAAAAAGGGAGAATGAAGCTGCGTCAGCTCTCCTTCCTCCCAGCCACGTCGATGGCTTTAAAGGGGCAGAGAGCTACACGGGAGGAGTGGAAATGTGAAGGCCTGTTTTTCCAAGAATTGTGCATCCAGCCCTTCCAAACCTCCCTTCTCCATCCAGTCCTGACCAGTGGAAAAAATGTGCTTTTTCTCCCCGCTTGTGGGCTCTCCCAAACCGATTCTTCCTTGCCCTCAAATCCAGCTGGGATTCAGCCTAGCTGTGGCCCTCCACTACCTCAATTCTTTGCTGAGTCGAAGGAGCTGTTCGTGGCCTGGGCAGCCCCCCCAGGTCTGAGGAATAAAATGGGTGAAAGGAAATTGTTAATTTTCGCCGTAAGAAGGATGGGAGCCGACAAGATGCTTATCGTCTCAACTCTGAGATGGGACAATGGAGGCAGAACAGGGGATGAAGAAAAAGAAGAGAAAGGAAGGAAGGAAAAAGAAAAAAGGAGGAGGGGAAGAGGAAGGAAGAAGAGGAAGAAAACTAATCCAATTTATGTCCAAAGTCTGGGCTTTGAACAGCCCAAGGCAGGCTGCAGTTCAACAGGTGATGCCTTTTATCTCCCAGTAAGGTAGACAGATGGAAGGATTGGCTTTCAGAGAGGAGAACTGGGGACAACTTACACACCATAACAGATCAATGGGCAGGGTGCAAATGATGAGATCCCCATGAGTTTAATTCGAGGGAAATATCCAGGTTTGTCCAATGTTAAAGAGTTGTGGACTTCAACTCCCAGAATTCCCCAGGCACCATTCTGGGAATCGAAGCCCACAGGTCTTTCTCTGTGAGATATCTTTTTTGACATCTAATTTTTGCGCAGAAACGGTATGGAATGGAACCTACCGCCATCCATGTGGGTGCTTATGTTGCTAAGTGCAAAGGAAAGAGTGAAAGAGTGCATCTGAACATATGCAGAGGGTCCCTCTTCCTGTTGGTCTCTTGAGTGTTCACAACTGCAACCTTCCCTGCTGAAAATTATCCCCATCTGGCTGAATTCCCATGTTATTACATGATAGATGGTGGATAAATGGATGGATGGATGGATGGATGGATGGATGGATGGATGGATGGATACATAAGTAGACATACAGATGGATAGATGGGTGGATAGATAGATAGATGGATTAAGATATAGATTGTTAGAGGAATGGATGGATAGATGGATTAAGATATAGATTGTTAGAGGAATGGATGGATAGATGGATTAAGATATAAATAGATAGTTGGATTGATGGATGCATAGATAGAGATAAATAGATAACATGGATGGATAGACCAACAGGTGATTGATGGATTTAGATAGAAGATGGATGGATGGATGGAATGGACAGATAGAACGGACAGATATAGATGATAGATGGATGGATAGATTTAGATAGAACATAGAAAATAGATACAAATAGATGATAGAAAGATACTGGAGATGGGGATGAATGGATGGATGGATGGATGGATGAATGAATGGATGGATGGGTATATATATAGAGATACAGACAGACTGTGCCTGGCCACAGGAAATAAGGATTTATCATTTGGGGCTGTGTGTGGTGCAGACAGTAGCTTATTCAGCAAACCATGGTTATGCGCGCCAAGATCGACTGCAACCCAGCTGGATTCCCATCATGAACTTTGTCAAAATACAGCCCACAGCTTTGTAGATTGCATGCTACGGGAACTCCTACAATGTGGGCTGTGAACCAGGGCTAGTCCGTGGCCTTGGGCCATTGTGGGTTGCTCCGAAGCCACCGCTGAGCATACCATGTTTTAGTGTGTGTGTATCGAACAGAAGCAACTATGGTGTAGGTGCACAAATATCAGGCCAGAACGGAGCCTGTCCTATTTGCTGAAGGACATGGAAGGGCTGGATAAATTCGAGTCTTTTTTTTTTCCCCAAATTTGCTCTCAGGAACTGTAGCCGGTGGCTTTTCCATGCAGAGAATCCGAACCCACGATGATTTGAGACTGAGAAGCTTGAGTAAGTGACCTACTCTGTTGAAACTCAGACCTACAGAACCAGGAACTGATGGCAGCTTTTTTTTTTTTTTGCCTAAACATCTGGGCCACGGTTACAAAATCTCCAGTCCTCTGTGCTTGTTTCTTTGTCGTCTCTCTCTCTTTTTTTTTTTGGTCCTAGCTTGGTAGAAAAGTATAAAAATAGAGTACGCTCTCCTGGGTTATTAAAAGTAACAGGAGCGGGAGCAATGCGGGGGCTATTTTATGTAACACAGTGGCAATCCTAGGATTGGTGGGTTTCTCTCACCAATCTTCTCCTCTGAGTCTCTTCCTCCTTGCCTATCAAATGTATTCTTCCCTCCCTCCTTGTTCCTCAACTCGACGCATGCTCAGCCAGTCCTTTCTGCTCCAGCGCAGACACCGGAATGCTAGAATTTATCAGGAGAATAAACTTGCTCACTGAAAGAATAATAGAGCTGGAAGGTACCTTGGGGGGGGGGGTGTCTTCCAGTCCAGTCCCCAGCTCAAGCAGGAGACCCTCATCATTCCAGACAAGTGACTGTCCAGTCTCTTCTTAAAAGTGTCCAGTGATGGAGCCCCCACAATTTCTGGAGGCAAATTGTTCCACTGATTAATTGTTCTCACTGTCAGGAAGTTTCTCCTTCGTTCTAGGTTGCTTCTCTCCTTGATTGGTCTCCATCCGTTGCTTCTTGTCCTGCCTTCAGGGGCTTTGGAGAACAGGTTGACCCCCTTCTTCTTTGTGGCAGCCCCTCAAATATTGGAAGGCTGCCATCTTCTAATCCTAGTAGTCTTCTTTAAACTAGACATAGCCAGTTCCTGCAACCGAGCATCATAAAAGGAAATTGCTAGTATAACTAGCTATCAAGCAAGTTGGGGGTGGGGGTTTCTCACTCTGTAGAGACAATGGCTGGATTCCCACAGCTTGCTAACCCAGGTTAGCAAAGCGAAGGGCTGCGTTTGCAAAACATGCAATCCCCAAATAAACATGCCATGAAGGTTGGGTTCACACAGCCTAGTAACACCCAGGTTGAGTTCCCCTAGTGTCCCAAAGCACAAACGACTCCCTTTTTAGTATAAAACTAGACAACCTGTGACTCATTGGATCATCCTATCGAAGCAAGGCTGCCTGGGGAATTCTGGGAATGGAAGTCTACCCATCTTAAAGTTCCTCGGGTTGAGAAACGGTGCCCTACACGAACAGAGGAAACCGAAGAGCTACAGACGGGCAAAAAAAAAAAGCAGTGAGGATTGATTTCCGATTTCCCCATTGCTTGTGAGAAGGTGGCCGAGGAGCATCAGAAACCACAATTGCTACAGCTGTGCAAGCAGCACTGCAGTTGCCACAACTTTGCCAATAGAACTGCCGGGAAGGCCCTTGAAATTCCAAATTACACCAGAGTAACAGATCCCCGATTCGGTCCGTATGCTTTAAAATTGCCAGATACGAGCAACGTCCCTGTTTTTCACGCTGAACGACGGTCGCAGCCTCCCTGTGGTCAGGTGATCCAAATCCGAATGCTTGGCAAGTGGCAGGTGTTTATGACAGTTGTGGGGTCACGTGATTCCCCTTTTGCGACCATCTGACAGCAAAGTCACTGAATCCCTTTGCAACTGTGTGACTTAACTTCACAACTGCAGCGATTCGCTTACTGGCAAGAAAGCTGGTAAATCGGGACAAATCTCACCTGACAGCTGCCTTGCTTAGCAACGGAGCTATCTGGCGCCCAATTGTGGCCGTACGTTCGAGGACTACCTGTGTAGTCCTGGGCCCAAAGCCAGGGAAAGCTTGCAAACGCTGCTTATATTCATCCAGGACCCACTTTCACACACAAAGCACGTCTCTGTTTCTCCTTGATCGGTACAGTATCCAGTTTGGGCTGGCAAAAAGTCCTTTCTTGGGGTTCAGACCCCTCCCTTTCACAGAGTTATATTTATGATCTCCCCTTGTTGGGGAAAAAGTACAATTTGGATGCAACCGCCCACCCTTTTCTCTCCTTTGCTCCCAGTTACAGCGTTGGCCGCCCCCACACGCTGCTGCAGCAGAACGCTGCTTGAACATTACAGAGACTGAATTACAAAGCACAGGCTGTATGTGTCTCTCTCTCTGTGTGTGTGTGTGTAGAGATGTGTATGTGTGTGTGTCTATACGCACTCCAAGCTGCTATATTTAGCCCGGCTGTTGCTGTTTTTAGCTCCTTGATTCAGAACCCAAATTAGCAGAAAAGAGGAGGCGGAAGGATGGGGATGCTCAGGCCAAGTTGGCGAAGGAAGAGGATGGATTGGAAGAAGCTGAAAGGGGAGATTTTGAGAGAGACTGTGCTAGGAAGACAGGCCCTCCCTGCAGCCATCAGTTGCCCCCTCCCCCAAAGTTTCTCTCTCCCCTTCTTTCTAAATCCCTTCCCGCCCTCCCCCCCAGTTCTCCCAAACCCACCGAGAGTATTGCCACGATGGCCGTGATTCACAGTCGCCATGCAAAAATGATGCACTCCACTCCAATCGACGCTCCATTGGGAGTTAATAATAATAATAATAATAATAATAATAATAAAGTTGGAAGGGACCTTGGAGGTCATCTAGTCCAACCCCCTGCTCAGGCAGGAAACCCTATACCCATTTCGGACAAATGGCTGTCCAGTCTCTTCTTAAAAACTTCCAGCATTGGAGCATTCACCGCTTCTGGAGGCAGGTTGTTCCACTGGTTAATTGTCCTCACTGTCAGGAAGTTTCTCCTTAGTTCTAGGTTGCTTCTCTCCTTGATTGGTTTCCATCCGTTGCTTCTTGTCCTGCCTTCAGGAACTTTGGAGAATAGCTTGACTCCCTCTTCTTTGGGGCAGCCCCTGAGATACTGGAAGGCTGCTATCATGTCCCCCCTTGTCCTTCTCTTCATTAAACTAGACATACCCAATTCCAGCAACCGTTCCTTATATATTTTAGCGTTGGTGGTGATCTCCTGGTGGTCTTCCATCCGTGTCCTGAGCAGGCCTCAGCCTGTTTAAGCTTGTAGTCTGGGCAATGTCAGCCAAAGGCTGCCACCTGCCGATGCTTGAGGAGCTTCCGTAGAATCCTACAAATCAAATGTGGCTCCTGATAACTTTATGGCTGCCTCCATGTAGTTTTCTGGGGCCAGGTTGCCGTAGCGATGTGTTACTCTTCTGTGCAACCGCCTCGACTTTTCTTACGGTCTCCACATCAAGTCCTAATCAAATCTGACCTCGCTTGAGATCAGACCTATGCATGGCCCGACAGAACACTTGACGATCCCTCCACGAGTTCCTGTAAAAGGCCAAGGATTTCGTTCCAAAGGTTCATAGAACGTAGAATACAAACACAGAACACAGAAACTTGCAGAGTTTCCTCGGTGGCGACATCCACATCCAACTGGATCGGCAGCTTGGAATTTCCAGACTGGCATCCTTTTGCCTCTTCGCCTCTGGAAAAGTGGTCGGCCCCGTTTCTGGTTCCGCCCGGAAAGACACGCCGTAGTCCAATTGAACCTTTTAGGAAATTGCTGTTCCTGGATCAGTCAGTTGCATAAACAGTCTTGTCTGCATTGCAGAAAAGTGATAATTGTATAACTTGTCAAATTCTTCTCCTTGGAAAATCAACACACCTAACTAACTGGAGCTATTACAGTAGTGCACGATGGGAAGAAGAAAGGAAGGAAGGAAGGAAGGAAGGAAGGAAGGAAGGAAGGAAGAAAGAGAAAGAAAGGAAGGAAGGAAGGAATAAAGAAAAGGAAGGAAAGGAAGGAAGAAGGGAAGGTAAAAGAAAAAGGGAGGGAAGGAAGGAAGAAGGAAAGGGGAAGGAAGAAAGGAAAAGGAGGGAGGGGGGAGGAGGAAAGGAAAGAAGGAAGGATGGAAGGGAAGAAGGAAGGGAGGAGAAAAGGAAAGAAAGAAAACAGGAAGGAAGAAAGGATGGAAGGGGGAAGAAAGGAAGACTGGGAAGAAGGGATGGAAGGAAAGAGGAAGGAAGGAAGGATGCTAAAAGCAAACATAATATCCCTTAAGACAGGACTCTGCATAGATTTGGGGGGGGGGCAGCTTTCAACTCCCACCCCAACGGAACAAAATCCCTCCATCCCAGTGTGTCTCCTTCTTTATGGCAACTTCCAAAACGGCAGGATCATCCAAAACCACAAAGAGCTGGTTGCCTCCCACCATCTCAGCTTTCACGCCCTTATATGGAACGAGGAGAGATTTATGCAAAAGCCAAGCTGCCTAATTTAGGTTATCTCTGCAAAAGGGGGGGGGGGAGGAAAAAAAAAAAGGAAGTAAAGAAAGAAACGAATACAGAGAAGAAAAAGAACCAGCCCAAATGGGAGACAGAATGCTGTCACTTTTCGTGGTTGCTAAGCAACCGCAGAGCTGAAAAAGAACCTTTCTCTCTTTTTCTCTCTCTCTCTCTCTCTTTTTTTTTTTGAAGCGTCTATTTTTGGCCTTCGCCAAAGACGAATGTTATTTAAGGCCTGGCTTGTTTATTTACTGGGAAGTTTAAAAAGAAAACCAGAATAGATTCACCTCTTCTGATGGGTTTTTTTTTTTTTTTTTGGACGAGAAGGGAAAATTCCTGGACAGAAATCCTAAATAAAGATATGCTCGTTTTTACTAAATAGGAGAGAAAAGGACAAAACAGTGAGAATCTGTTCAGAAGAGTTTTTTTTTTAAAAAAAAAAAAAACCAATAATTTTGAAAAAAGGCAAAACCCTCCCCCCCCCACAAACAGATTCACCTCCCCAAAAAACGCTGCTGTTAGCCTTATTAGCAAATATTTCTATTTTTTTAGAGACTGCGTCAAGAACAACTTCTTTAAACCACCAAGGCCGAGCTTACAATCGGGAGAAAATAAACAATCACACAGGCCCCCTATAGATTTATATATATTTATGAAAGAACGGCAGGGGACACCCACGCATTTAAGAGACATCTTTTGGGAGTTTGGTTTAGGCCTATAACCCTGCAGTTTGGACACCCCCCTTTTCCTCCAGTGTTTTGGTTTTTGGGCGGCGGGGTGTGAAGAAATCTGAAAGAACTCAAGACCCGTTTTGACCGACATTGAGGGGCAAAGGTTGCGAAGGAAGGACAGGAAAAGAGGAAAGAATTGAACACGAAGCAAAGAGATTGATTGGCTACGTCGCTTTGGGCAAGAGAATGTAAAGAGACAAGAAAAGAAGAGGATTTGAGAAAGAACAATGCTGCTTTGTCAAGAAGGAAAAGAGAAAGAAATTGATTTCAGCACCAGCATTGAATTTCTGGGACTGAGAGAGAAAAAAAAAAGTCAGGCACACGGCGATGCGATTCCAACATTCGAGACTGTTTCATCTCCTAATTCGGTGCAGTGTTTGCTTGGTTTCCTCCTCCAGCCTCCCCCCCCTCCTCACCACGTCATTCAGAAGCCAGTGACGTAGGGTTCCCCCAAGCCCATGGAAGCAGGGGGGGGCTGGCTCTGCAACCCTCTCCCTTCCATTGATCTGAACAACTCTTCCCGCCCCGTTTTCCTTAATATGCCAGTGCCCACACTCCCAACAGCCTATAAAAGATGGAAATCAGACTCTCCGACAGATCCACAGGCAGACATCAGAGAGAGAGGGAGACAGAGAGAGAAAGAGGGCGCAAAGACGGAAGCGGCTGAGCTGCACGGATCTTCTTCCCAGCCGAGATGTACCGGTCCACGAAAGGAGCCTCCAAGGCACGGCGGGATCAAATCAATGCGGAGATTAGACATCTGAAGGACCTGTTGCCCATTGCCGAAGGAGATAAACTTCGCCTCTCTTATCTGCATATCATGTCGCTGGCTTGCATCTACACGCGGAAATCCATCTTCTTCTCCAAAGGTAGATCCAGAAGACAACTGAGGGGCTTGGGGAAGGGAAAACTAAGGGAGCGGGGTGGGTGGGCTTACTTCTAAAGTTGGGTAAGGGGAGGCTTCCCTTAGAAACTCAACAGGTCTCTCTCCGTGGTGCTGAAACGGCCAATGGAGCCGGGGCTGCTGTCCGTGGTGCTGAAGCAGCATCTGGCAAACTTTGCTTGTAATAAGTGCTGTCCCTGGTGCTGAAACAGCTTACCGTTCCTTTTCCTTGACTCATGAGATGTGAAGGGAGCGAGTATTTATTTTTTGCAATAGAAAAATAAAAATTAAACCCCTGTCCTGTTTCTCAACAGGTGCAACTTTGGAAGGCTTGGAGAGCTTGCTGTCTTCCCAGGACTTAGACGATTTCATGCAGGCGCTTCCTGGTTTCCTTTTGGCGTTCACTGGCGAAGGCAAACTCATCTATGTGTCGGAGACTGTGGCTGAGCACTTGGGGCATTCTATGGTACGTACTGGAGACTTGTAAAGAGGGGAGAGTGATACCGTTGCTATAAAATAAGGGAAATAATAGCACTCCTTTGAATTATCCTGGATTTTCACAGCAGCCTAACCTTTGTTTCGTTGTATTACATGAGCATTTCATTTAAGCCATAGCCTTTCATTTTTTCCAAGGCTGGAGCTTATTAAATTAGCCTCATAGTCTCTATAACGGAAGCTGTTTGTCCATAACATTGATAGCTCTTAAGAGATTATTTTCTCAACGAGAGTAAACATATTTATGAAAGACCGTTGACTTTGGAGGTCCTACGTGAAGCTGACTCAGTGACTAATAGGAGAGTTTAATTTCACAACTGTTCCCATCTCCCTCCCACTTATGCCTGCAGGTGGATTTAGTGGCCCAAGGAGACAGCATCTACGACATAATTGACCCAGCAGATCATTTTGTGATGAAGAATCAGTTGGCGTTGCCTTCTCCATTAAATACCGGTAGGTGTTCCTTTGTGGAACTGAGTGTCATGCGGAGGAGAAGGGAGCAACAGACGTGTGGTTCAGAAAGGAGTCTAAATTAGCATGATGACTATTTAAAAAGTTGACGGGTGTGTTAGACTAGAATGAAACCTTGCAGAGCTTAATTCAAGAGAGAAGCGATGAAAGCTCACCTTTTATCAGAAAAACTCCCATTTCGGAGCCGACAATATTATGAAATTGGTCTTCCATTACTATGGAGAAAAAAACAGCATGGCATTTCTGGAGAAAAACAAGCCTCTGGGGCAGTGCCTGTCAACCGTAGTTGCTTGAAGATAGGTGGACTTCAATTCCCCAACTGGTCCACAGATGTGGCCAAGATTGAAAACATGATTCTAGGATGGAGTTTCCAATCAGAGGAAGTTCAATCCATTCTTGTAACCTGTGTTTAAGAAATTCACTTAGAAATACATCTCGTGCAGGAAAAGAAGTCTAGGAGAGTGGAACAAATCCATCCTTTGTGCTAGAGATTGGCTTGGCAAGATCTGAGTATGCTTCAGTGTGTTATGGGTTTTCAAGTCTTTCAACGTCCCTCTTCTTTTTTCTTCTGTCCTTCAAACCAAAACAGAACGTCTCTTCCGTTGCCACTTCAACACTTCCAAAACAATCCGGCGTCAAAGTGCAGGAAATAAGCTGGTTCTGATTCGCGGTCACTTCCACCAACCTCCTCCGGGGTCTTATTGGTCCACCAATCCTGTCTTCACAGCCTTTTGCACTCCTCTAGATCCTAAGCCCAGAATGGGTCAAAATTCGTTCTTCCTCTCAGCTTTCGAGAGTCGCCACACGAAAGACCTGGCCATCGTGGATATCTCCGAAAGGTGAGAGGCCTTGTGGAAAAGGCGTAAGCTTAGGATTAATTTAGAGCAGGGGTCTTCCAAACGTGACCACTTTAAGACTTGTGGACTTCAACTCCCAGAATGCCTCAGTCACCCCAACTTGGCATTTTTAAGACTTGAGGACATCAGCTCCCAGAATTCCTCAGTCAGCCAAACTTGGCAACTTTAACACTTGTGGACTTTAACTCCCAGAATTCCTCAGCCAACCAAACTTGGCAACTTTAAGACTTTTGGACTTCAACTCCCAGAATTCCTCAGCCAGCATTTGGCAACTTTAAGACTTGTGGACTTCAACTCCCAGAATTCCCAAGTTTAGAGACCCCCTAGACCAGGGCTTTCCAAACTTGGCCCTTTTATGACTTGTGGACTTCAACTCCCAGAATTCCTCAGCCAGCATGCCTGGCTGAGGAATCCTGGGAGTTGAAGTCCACAAGTCATAAAAGGGCCAAGTTTGAAGACCCCTGGACTAGACTGAGAAGAACATAAGGACTGAGAAGGAATTTGGTGGGCTTGTTAAGGCAGGAGCATCTTGTTTCCACCAGAAGGAGAAGCAGGACACTGAATAACCGGCCAACGGGCGTACATACCAATTCTCCTGTATTATTTTTCCCGACAATTTCTTGCTCTATTTAAAAGGAATTTGGAGTTCTTCAACCATGGGTGTTGTTCAGAGCTGGAAGTGTGAGAATTCAGGCAGGCCCTGGAAGGTTGAACCTTATCTTCTCTCTAGAGTAGTGTGTCTCAACCCCGGCCACTTGAAGACGGGTGGAATGGAGTTGTGGCTGAGGAATTCTGGGAGTTGAAGTTCACCCATCTTCCAGGTGCCAAGGTTGAGTGCCCTAGAAGAATAACACAGGGTCAGAACCCCAGAGAAATCAGCAAGGAATGCTCCAATGTCTTGTGAGCAAAATGTTTGCAGAGGAAGGTACTAATAAAATGCAGCACCATCATTGCCACCGCAAAAGCACTGATCTCTACTCTTATTTTCTCTCCACATTCTAGTGTGATCTTCCATCTGGGCTTTCAGAAGAGCGAACTCTTCTGCAAATCGTGGTACGGCCTGATCCACCCTGAAGATCTCAGCCATGCTTCGGCCCAGCATTACCGGCTGTGTGAGTGTCTTACCGTTGTCCTTTTAATCTACCCCTCCGACATCAGTAGCGGGTGGACGAAGCGGATTGGGCTGACCGGTTGTCTTACTCCCTTTTTCCTTCTGGTTCCTCCAGTGGGTGATCAAAGCAACACACAAGCTGAAATGGTGATCAGGCTCCAAGCAAAAGATGGCGTAAGCTGGATCTGGATCTACTCGTTGCTTCGCTTGGAGAGCACGGAGATCCCCATCGTTGCTCACAACTACGTCATCAGGTAACAGTTGTGGCGGAACTCTTTCTGGGGTGGGTGGGCTTGAGGTATGGATTGTTTCTTTAAAGCCCTGCGAGGTGGGCTGGGAGAGAGAGAGAGGCCCAGCGTTCACCCAGCTGGCTTTCAGGCCTAAGGCGGGACCAGAATTCAGTCTCTCCTGCTGATTGGCCCAAAGTCACCCAGCTGGCTTTCATGCCTAAGGCGGGACTAGAACTCACCGTCTCCTGGCGATTGGCCCAAAGTCACCCAGATGGCTTTCAGGCCTAAGGCGGGACTACAACTCACTGTCTCCTGGCGATTGGCCCAAAGTCACCCAGATGGCTTTCAGGCCTAAAGCGGGACTAGAACTCACCGTCTCCTGGCGATTGGCCCAAAGTCACCCAGATGGCTTTCAGGCCTAAGGCGGGACTAGAACTCACTGTCTCCTGGCGATTGGCCCAAAGTCACCCAGATGGCTTTCAGGCCTAAGGCGGGACTAGAACTCACCGTCTCCTGGTGATTGGCCCAAAGTCACCCAGTCGCCTTTCATGCCCAAGACGGGACTAGAACTTACCGTCTCCTGGTGATCATCCCACAGTCATCCAGCTGACTTTCATGACTGTGGCGGGACTAGAACTCACCGTCTCCTGGCTTCTAGTCCACCTTCGCCGAGACCAAATTGCCTCTCATACGAACACCGATTTTAAACCACTTGTATAGCTGCCCCTCTCACAAAGGCGACTCAAGGCAGGATGCAGAGGCTTAGAAACGGCACAGTGGGAAATAAAAACCGTATTTTCCGGCGTATAAGACGACTTTCTAAAGCATGCAAATCGTCTCCCAAGTCGGGGTCGTCTTATATGCCGAGTCGTCTTATACGCCAGAAATTACGGTAAATCAGCCATCTCTGCTTTAAAGGGCTACACCCAACTCGGCCTCCCGCTCGATTTTCTTCCCAATGCCCGATGCCCCTTTCCAGCGGGAGCATCTGCGACCGGATAGCTGACCCTTTGCAGAACTCTGAATAAAGGAGGGAAGCGAGAACGGGCGCCTAGCTAGAAGACAGTTGACTTTCCGTAGAGTCGTTTCGCTGCTTACAAGTTTTGTAAGCCGGGCTTCCTCGTCGCCACGTTACCGCCGGCAATCTGAGGTCCGCAAGGCGGTTCCAATCCCGTTCTAGAGAGACAGAAAGGATAGAAAAATGTAGAGGTTTTGCTTTGGGGCTCTCTTGACGATGAGGCACCTCCCCACAGCCTCCGTTCTTACTTTTCTTACTCTTCTCCTGCAGCGATTCCGAAGCTTGGTGCCTGAAGCAGCAACTGTCTGCCGAAGGATCCCAAGGGACGTACAGTCTGGAAAGCACCACCACTTTCCTGGAGAGTCTCCTGTCTCCTGGACAGCTCTCCAGCCCCGATCAAGTCTTCACGCCCGCGGCCGGCACCCCCACCGGCACCCTTGTGGCCCCGGCTTTCGATTTCAGCTCCGCCGGGGCCCCCGAAGGTCCCCCGGCCTTCGGCGAGCCTGCTGAAGGCCTGCCCGAAGGGATGGTGGAACCTGGGACTATCTCCTCCATAGAGGACGCCCCACCAGGTGCCACCCTCAGCCTCCTCGTCAAAGAGCCGGCCTTCGGCTACCTCCTCCTCCCGCACGGAAGTTACGGAGCGACGTTTGCAAGCGAGACGCCCGGCGGCAAGCCCGCCTCCAAAGATTCGGCCTGCACCCCTCCTTACACCCCGCACCAGGGCTCGGCTTTCCTCTTTGGAAGTCAAGAGCTTTACGGAGCCCGCGGTGGGGGCAGCCCCGCGGCCCCGCCTCCCGGGACTGCTTCCGGCGCCGGCTCGCCGGCCGGTCTGGCCGCCGTGAGCGCCTCCGAGCTGTTCTTCGCCCAAGAACCGTGCCATATTCTCTATGAGAAGCTCCCCCCGACTCCGGACAGCCCCGGTAATGGGGGCTGCACCGTCCTGAGCTTGCCGGAGATCCGAGGTCCCCTCTACGTGGATGTGCCTATGGTACCCGAGGGGATGCTGACTCCGGAGGCCTCGCCCATCAAGCAGATGTTCTTCAGATATTCTGAGAAGGAGAAGAACGAAATCGAGCAGCTGGCTCAGCAGCTCTGTAGCCTGGCGGAGACCTTTCGCTCCCCGGCGTCCCGGCCCCTCGCCGAGAACAGCCAGGGGTCTCTCCGAGAGGACTTGCCGGCCCCCGGCCCCGAACCGTCTCCCGTGCCCGAACCTTGCCCGGATTTCCAACTGCCCAAAACGTGGAGGAGCGTGGATTTCTCCGTCTTGACTTGCCTGGAGGACGACCTCCTGGAAGAGACGGCTCTTGAGACCCTCCTCCAAGACCTGTCTTCCTTTCTGTTCGAGAAAGGGGGGGCAGGGATGAGGTGCCCTCACCACCCGTTCTGCGGTGGCGACGTCAGTAGTCCAGTCGGCTTGGACACCGAAGATAGTAGCCCAGGAGCCTTGGCTGTCTCGCCAAGGATGGACTTAGCTCCGGAAGAGCCATGTTTTTTGGAAGAGCTGGCCTCCTTCGACACAGCCTTTGAGACACGTGCCTCAAACTCTCCCTACGAGGGGTTAGATGAGTTGTATCAACTCCCGAGCCAAAGGCCCGACGGCTTCCAGGAAGGTAAGCCAGGTGGGGTGGGGGGGGGTGGAGGCAGTGAGTGTGGGGGTGGAGGGAGCAAGGAGAGGAGGGGGGGGTCCCAAAGGGGCTATTGCAAGAGGTAACTGGAGCTTCCCGGTTCTTTTTTATTCTTTTCTTCTTTCCTTTTTCTTCCTTCTCTTCTTTTGCTTTCTTTCCCTTTCTGACTTTTACTTCCTTCCTCCTCTTTCTTTCTTTTTCTTTCTTTCTTTTTCTTTCTTTCTTCCTTCCTTTTTCTTCCTCTTTCTTTCATTCTTTCTTTCTTCCTTCCTTCCTTCCTTCCTTCCTTTTTCTTCCTTCCTTCCTCTTTCTTTCCTTCCTTTTCCTTCCTTTCTTTCTCTTCCTTCCTTCCTCTTTCTTTCTTTCTTCCTTCCTCCTTTCTTCCTTCCTTCCTTCCTTCCTTCCTTCTCCCTTCCTTCCTTTCTTTCCCTTCCTTCCTTCCTCCCTTCCTTCCTTCCTTTTCCTTCCTTCCTTCTCCCTTCCTTCCTTTCTTTCTTTCTTTTTCTTTCTTCCTTCCTTTTTCTTCCTCCTTTCTTTCTTTCTTTCTTTCTTTCTTTCTTTCATTCTTTCTTTCTTTCTTCCTTCTTTCCTTTTTCTTCCTTCCTTCCTCCTCTTTCTTTTCCTCTTTCTTTCCTTCCTTTTCCTTCCTTTCTTTCTCTTCTTTCCTCCTCTTTCTTTCTTTCTTCCTTCCTTCTCCCTTCCTTCCTTTCTTTCTTTCCCTTCCTTCTCTTTCTTTCTTTCTTTCTTTCTTTCTTCCTCCTCTTTCTTTCTTTCTTTCTTTCTTCTTCCTTCCTTCCTTCCTTTTCCTTCCTTCCTTCTCCCTTCCTTCCTTCCTTTCTTTCTTTCCCTTCCTTTCTCTTTCTTTCTTTCTTTCTTTCTTTCTTTCTTTCTTTCTTTCTTTCTTTCTTCTTTTTTCTTTCTTTCCTTCCTTCCTTCCTTCCCTCCTTCCTTCCTTTTCATCTCTCTCTCTCTCTCTTTCTCTCCTTTCTTCTTCTTTTCTTTTCTTTGAGAATGTTTTGCTTCTCATCCAAGAGAACTGAAGAAGCTTCCTGGATGAGAAGCGAAATGTTTTCAAAGGAGAAAAAAAAAACCCCTAGGAAGTCCACTTGCCTTTCGGAAAAAGCACCGTTAGGGCACCCAGGACCCGGATGAGTGAGAATCTTCCTAGACAAGAGTAGGGAATGTGAGAGAGGCCCCATTCCCAGCAGGGGAGGCCCTGCAGAATTGGGGCCAGAGATGTCTGGCTTGGTAGCACATCCAAACAAAAGCTTTAAAAAAAAAAGATTTATTTTTTTTTTTAAAAAAAGAAAAATTCCCAGAACTTCCCCAGCCAGCGTGTTTTAACCTTTGTGGTTTTCAACTCCCAGAATTCCAGTCTGCTGGCCAGGAAAAAAAAAATCCTTATCCTGGGAATAGCCAATCTGAGATTTAGAAACAAGTTTCTAGTCCTTAAAGCGGGGAGCAGGCACCACGAACGCATGCGATCGAGTGTTTAGCTTGGAAAAGGGCGTTTTCGATCCGTTGACTGATCTTTCTCTCTCTCTTCCATTCTGTCTCCTCCTTTAGATGGAAGCGGAAACGATCCTTCATTTTGAAATAAGTCTGTGACTTACTTCTCCAAGTATGGCATATTGTCATATCTTTAAAGAAGCTACATCCACCCAGCCCCCCCAGCCCTCCAGAAGTGTCCTGCGAATGGAAACCCAGCGTAAAGTTGGAGGATGTCAGCAGGAAAAGACTTTTTTTTTTTTATTTAAAAAAAGAAAAGAAAAAAAAAACCATACATTTTGATTCTGAGACGTCGGTGTGAGACTGGTTACTCAGAGCTAAAGGAAGGACTGTTGTAAGTGGATTCACACATGTTATCGTATTCACTCGTAGTGAGTAAAACCTCTATGTAATTTACTAAGAAATATCGGAGGGGGCCTTGGGCCCGACGGCTCCTTAAATCACGATTTAACGCCAAGCTGGAGCAAAACTGTTTGCACTCTTTGGGGATTCCTCCTCTTCCAGTTACTTACTCTTTCATCCCTGCTCCCTAGAGTACAGAATGTGTAGGTGGTACAAATGCCTACGATAGTAAGGGCCAATGGCTGGTAATGCAATAATGGATATTATTGCCTTGCTATTCTCACATAGTGTATTTCTGTTTGTACAGAAAGACTGCCGTTCAAAGTTTGGGGCGCCTGTTTCCAATTTGAATTCTTTCTTTTTCTTTTTAAATTCGCTTTGTGATGGTTATTTAAGTATTAGCAGTTTCCTCTAAGTCAGAGATATACAAGCTAAGCTCCTAAGGCTTCCTATGGCTCCTGAACCCCTGTGGGGGGAAGCAACCCCATGCACTGGAAACAGCGTGAAGAGACCTGAATTGGTTTACCTGGCTGATCTTGGGGGAATATGTGTGTGTGTGTGTGTAGGTCTTTGGTTATTCGGGTTTTCTCCCGCGTAAAATTGGAAATGTCTTGGCGACGTTTCGACGAAATCCCATTCGTCATCTTCAGGTTGGTGTTTTCGGCTTCGTGCTTCTAGGAAGCATGAAGCCGAAAACACCAGCCTGAAGATGAAGAATGGGACTTCGTCGAAACGTCGCCAAGACATTTCCAATTTATATACACACATACATACATAATACAGGACGGGAGACCACCAGGAAATTTAGGGGGCCATAGACTAGCCTGGGAAGTCAGCCAAACATCAACTTCTGCATTCTTGCCAAGAACATTATATGGATGTGGCCTACTGTTCACCCAGACTCAAATCTGTCCCCAACGATTCTTTTACGCATCTTTCGGGCCTGCGACAAAATCGACTCATTGATTCTTTTACCTTTTTTTATGAGAGGTTAAGAACTCAAGGCCTCTGTCCTAACTATAGCTTCCTACAAAATTCAGATTTTTTTTAGGGGGGGGGGGGGCGGTGTTGTTTTTTGTTTTAATTGCGCATCGAACGAGATGAAGAACTTAAGGCCTCTGTTCAGATTTGGGTCCCCCCCCTCTTTCTATTGCGTGTCAAATGAGATGAAGAACTCATGGCCTCTGTCTTAAATTAAATGCACAATTTCCTAGGAAATTCAGATTTTGGGGGGGGGTCATGAGGGGTTTCTTTTAATTGCACATCAACTAGTCTCACCCGTTTTGGTCTGACCAAAACATTTCCTTTGACAGTGGAATCTGCTGTGTACATAACCACCATGTGAGTTATCAGTGACCGAGCCCTTATTGATCCACGCAAGGGATCGCAAATCCGTTCCCTCTTCGGCTGGGATCCGACCCTGGCCGAAAATATCCAGTGGTAGATCACAGAGACGATATTCTGAAATTGTCTCTTGGTTGCGTTTGTTGCTTTTCAACAGCACTGCTCAAGCAATGGGAAGACTCTTGACCAGAACAGTGGGCACAGGATAAATGCTGATGTTTATATTCTGCTGCGTTCTAGATGTGTATCTTTAAATTTCACTTTGAACAATATGGCTTGTGACAAGCTTCAGAAACCTTTCCCAGCCCTGCCCTCCGAGAGCAGAAATTGGTTGCTTGAGTCCCAAAAATTCTGCTTCAACACCCCCCCCCCACAACTTCACAACGTCCCCACTTCCTACTCTTTCCTTAACTGTTGTGTTCAAATTGTGGGGACTTGTGATATCCTCAGTATTAACGCTGCCTTTGGTACGACTTTTCTACGAGCACGTGTGAGGGGTCGGGCCCTCTGACTGTTGTATGCCTAGCCATGTTGTGTCCAGTTGTGAGACTTGCTTAAAACCACAGGCCTGCAAGACTGTGCAGAACCGCAGCGCGATCCGGGTTTGTTTGTTTGTCCATTTTGTACGATCAAAAACAGAACATGCCTGTTCACTTGTACCTTTGTTGAAAAGTTTGCCTGCCGTTGTGCAGTGTTCTTGAAACCTTGACGCCTTGCCAAGTCTGGATGTGAGCTTTCTTGCAATAAAAGGAAACACAACATTGAGAAACAGCCTTGAAAGCGTGGATGTATTTGTATTTTAAATTCACGGTGGCTTTTTTATCTGCAGGCGGTCCTCCTCTTAAGACTGTAATTGAACACAGAATTGTGGTCATACGTCACGCTGGTCATTAAGCAGATCATCACCTGACCGTGCCTGGTTTCATGAGCTGATTTGCAGGGCTTGTTAAGCAAATCACTGCAGTCACTCAATGAACCTCTTGTCCACAAAGGGCGTTTTTTTGGTGGAAACGGGGAATAAACATTTCTTTCTGGCAAAAAACATTATAGATCACAACTGTGGGACAGTACAAATATAAAAAAGATGTTCAGACTCTAGAAAGAGTGCAGAGAAGAGCAACGAAGATGATTAGGAGACTGGAGGCTAAAACATAAAAGGAACAGTTGCTGGAATTGGATATGTCTAGTTTAATGAAGAGAAGGATGAGGGGGGACATGATAGCAGTGATCCAGTATCTCAGGAGCTGCCACAAAGAAGAGGGAGTCAAGCTATTCTCCAAAGCACCTGAAGGCAGGACAAGAAGCAACAGATGGAAACTAATCAAGGAGAGAAGCAACCTGGAACTAAGGAGAAACTTCCTGACAGTGAGAAGAATTAACCAGCGGAAAACCTGTCTCTAGAAGCGGTGAATGCTCCAACACTGGAAGTTTTTAAGAAGAAACTGGACAGCCATTTGTCCGAAATGGTATAGGGTTTCCTGCCTGAGCAGGGGGTTGGACTAGATGACTTCCAAGGTCCCTTCCAACCTTATTATTATTGGGATTTAAATGCGGGCTTTGAGCCCCCCAAATGCGATCGTGTGACAACAGAGGGGGCCTGGCTGCTGGAACATCAAACTGGGTCCTAAGTAGTCCTGGAGAGGCCCGTTGTAATTTCAAATGGTCACTAAAGCAAATGGGTCGTAACTCAAAGACTACTCATAATTCCCAGCACTTGCAAACACTTGACCTGATAACCGAACTAACCCATTTTCCAGCTTTGTATCAAACCTTAAAAACACACACACACCCTCAAATATGCTGGGTTTGCGTAATATCTAAATTGGGGTGTCCAACTTTGCTAAATCTTAAGACCAGCTTCCCTTCCAGGATTTGCAAAAGGCTCTGCTCTCAGAGGGGGCCTCTGTGCCACCCCTTCCCCAAACATCTGGAAACAGGGCTCTGGGTGCTTCCAGTGCACGTTTTAGCAGAGGGGTCCCCAACCCAACGCGCTGTGGCTCACGACTTGGTCCATGGCCTATTCGGAACCGGGCCACGGCGGGCTGGTGTGTGTAGCTCGACTTGGCGCGAGCGGCAGGCCCTCGCATATGCACAAGTTGTGCAAGTTGAGCTGCGCAGGCACGTGTGCCAGTCCCCCCCACTCATGTCAGTCGAGCCACACACTTGCATGGCCCGGATTCCCTCTCCTCCCTCCAGCCGGGCCACCAAGCCACCAAAGTTAGGGACTGCTGCTTTAGCAGACTTTCCAAGTTATTTGACAAAATACCAAATAAAAGAGTTGGAAGGGATCCTTCAAGTCCAATCCTTTCCTGGAGCAAGCAAGAGACCCTATCCCAGGGGTGGAAAACCTGGACTTTTTGATGACTTGTGGACTTTAACTCCCAGAATTCCTGAGCCAGCCATGCTGAACCATGGAATTCTGGGAGTTAAAGTCCCCAAGTCATAAAAGAGCCCAGCTGCTGGTTCTGGAATTCTGGGAGTTAAAGTCCACAAGTCATCAAAAAGCCCAGGTTCCCCACCCTTGTCCTATACAGATAGTCCTCAGCTTAACGACCACAATGGAGCCCCCACTTTTTGCCGCTAAGCGAGACATTGCTTACATGCGTTTTGCCCCGTTTTACGACTTCCTGCCGCAGCTCTCACCCCCCCCCCTTAGGCATGAAACAACTTAAAACCATTGTTAAGTGAATCACTGCCCTTGTTTAATAATTAGTCACACGGTTGTTAAGTGAATCTGGCTTCCCCATTGGCTTTGCTTGTCGGAAGGGCGCCAAAGGGGATCACGTGACTCCAGGACACGTCGTAAATATGAACCCGTTGCCAAGCCTCTGGATTTTGATCACGTGACCATTGGGGGGTGCGACAACGGTCACGAAGTGTGAAAAACGGTCGTAAGTCCCATTTTTCAGTGCCGTTGTAACTTTGAAGGGTCACTAGGCAAATTAATCTGGAGGCAGGTTGTTCCACTGGTTAATTGTCCTCAGTGTCAGAAAGTTTCTCCTTAGTTTTAGGTTGCTTCTCTCTTTGGTTAGTTGTACCAGGGGTGTCCAACCTTGACAGCTGTCAGACTCATGGACTCCCAGAATCCCCCAGTCCAATCTTGGCAAGTTGAAGACCTGTGAACTTCAACTCCCAGAATTCCACAGGTCTTCAACTTGCTAAGGTTGGACGTCCCTGCCCTACCCAGATCAAAGGCTGTCCAATTTCTTCTTAAAAACCTGCAGTAATAGAGACCTTAACCCCCCCTTTTTCTGCCCCCCCAATTAAACGTGGCTTTGGGGCGCCCTCTGCTGGGCATAAAGGGAAAACAATGACCCCTCAGTTGAAATTTGACGGGATGGGGGGGGGGGAGAAAGGGCGGAAGTACCGTATTGTGCTTTCTTTTTGTCTCTTCCTACCCAAATGTGCACGTGCGTCTTGCTGTGAAGCACCGCCAAGGTAGGGCCTTTGGTCTAATTTTCTCCCCCCGTTTTGGCAGAAGCAAGGGGGGTGTAGGGGGGGTGATCCGTGCCGTACGTGCATCATCCTAAAAAAAAAAATAATAAGATTTTTATAAAATAAGATTTCTTTTATTTGTTTAAAAAAAAACGGGGGGAAGGTACCGCATCCGTTTTTAAAATTTTGCATTTCCCAGTTTCAATCGCCCGGCTTGGCTCTCACGCTCGTTCGCACACTTGGATCGTGCCTAAAGGAAGCGTGTCAAAGGCAGCCCCGGCGCTCCCTTCCTGGCATGGCTCCCTGGCAAAAGCGGGGATCAGCTCGGTCCCTCCGGATCCACTCGCGGAGGATCCTGCTCGTCCCACGCAGTTTGGCAAACGCACGAGCCCAGGCTGAGTCTGACTGGCCTTCCTTCCTTCCTCCCTCTTTTTCCTTCCTTCCTTCCTTCCTTCTTTCCTTCCTTCCTTCCTTCCTTCTCTATTTCTCCCTTTGCTTCCCTCCTTTCCTTTTTTCCTTCCTTCCGTCCCTCCATCCCTTCATGACTTCCATACTCCATCTTCCTCCCTCCCTTTCTCCCGTGCTTCCTTCCTGCTTCCTCCCTCCTCTCTCCTTCTTCCTTCTGTCCTTCCCTTCCTTCTCTATTTCTTCCTTTGCTTTCTTCCCCCCTCTTCCTTCCTCCCTCTTCCTTCTTTCCTTCCCATTTCTTCCTTCCTTCCTTCCTCCATCTCTATTTCTCCTTTTGCTTTCTTCCCCCTCTTCCTTCCTCCCTCTTCCTTCTTTCATTCCCATTTCTTTCTTGCTTCCTCCTTCCCTTCTCTATTTCTCCCTTTGCTTCCTTCCTCCCCCTTCCTTCCTTCCTTCC